ATATGTATAAGTCTTGGAACCCTTTTAAAGATCGAAGTGAGGACAAAATGACCACCTTCCCATGAATGGAAATGCAGCCTTATGGAAATGCGTACTCTCATAGCAATTAGGGACATCCAAATGAACTGATGTCTGGAGGGCCCAAATTTAGTTATTAACCAAATTTATGACTTCAATTCATGTTCCATGAACAGGTTACTAACCAATACATATATCCCTAGTGCCGATTGATGTTTTGGACTTTTGTGCATAATTGCATATTGAAGTAAGTTGGTTTGATAGATGGTAGATGTTTGCTTTTTATTTTATTTAAAACTGGTTTGTGTAGATTTTTGTATGCACAGACTGAACGATGTTCCCATGCTGGCTGGACTATCGCGCAACCTTGGTAGGAGTCTTATCTCTTCGATACCAATTACTAAGTGGTGCAATGGCAGACAAGGCACCGTGGAGACTGCATATATTCGCTAGTACTGACACAGATGAATTGACAAGAATTGCACTACTCGCTGAAACAATAAGAAGAATCACAGATTTTTGCCTTTATAAGGATTGATCGCTTGGTGAACTGATTGCTCTATCCCTCAACCACTTTAGGAACCAAACCCATAGTTAGTAGTATATGCTGGTAGTTTTTTTTTTTTTTTTGCCATACCAAAAAATGAACGCATTTCGTGATGGCCATATGACCAGCTCATCCTCGGACAAAGATGATCTTCTATTTATAGTTGGTGCTGCCCTATTGTTCGAGTCAAATGCAGAAGCATACAGAGACCCAATCCACAAGGTACCTTGTAGGACATTAGCATTAATTGGCCGACAATGGGTTGAAGAACTGATATCAGGTAACCACACCCGAATTATGGATGCAACAAGATTAAGTGTAGATTCATTTATGAGATTGTGCAACATATTGTTCGAATGTGAATTTGTCCCCCCCAGTATCATTAGAAAAGGGTTACGATAGAGGAGGCACTTGCGATGACTTTAGTTATAATGAGCTACAATATGCGGATGCTAATAATTGCGGATCGATTCAACCACTCGTTGGAGATAGTGCATCAGAATATTCAGGAAGTCATTAGGAGTCTATGTACATTCGCTTAATTCATCATCACTACAAGACGCTAGGATGAAGTCCATCCAAAAATTCTAAATGACAGTACATTTTATCCATGGTTTGAAGTATGGTTAGCTAATACACCTGATTAAGTTTGAACGTTTGGGTCTCAAAGAATCTTTATATATATTTTTGTTATTGTATGGGGAGCACTGGGATTGCTTTCAATAAAAGAAATCTAACAGACGAAATGATAAATACAGTAATGGCACCACTGGAATGTGGTAAAGAACGAAGCAAGTATTACTAGTCCATGCATACAATAATGGTAGCATGCATATTGTTCGTAATAATTGACGTAATAGTTTAAAACATTTCAATTGCTTTTGAAAATTAAATTCTGGAATTGGTAGGCCATACGAATTTTAAACATAAAAATTAAATGTACAAAAGTAATTTGAAATAATACTCAAGTTTTGGCCAAAGATTTGCCCTTCAAGATTCAACACAAAATTGAAAGTCTACTTTGACAAGTATGGATTAAACCTTTCTTGGATGAGTAATACATGGGATTTGTCCTACAAATGCTTCGATTCATACTGGATATATATAATCTTAATATTGTATATCCTTTTTTTTTATTTTACAAACTAAATGTGGAAAACTCACCATAGTAAGATGAAAGAAAAACTAAAATGGCTTAGAACACAAAATAAAAATTTGAACTAGCTCCATGATGTCAAACGATCATCAAAGCATTAATATTATTTGATCTATATTGCACTTTTCTAGCTAAACCACGAGTAGTCCTCTTTTTTTTTTTCATTCATGCTGATATCTGAAAGGGTTAGTCAGGAACTTGTTTAATTTTAAATTTTTTATGGGAAGTATGGTGGAGCTTGTTATGTTAATTTTATAAGTGATTGGTTGAATACATTTAGGGGGTGTTTGGTTCATGCTCTGTAATTGGAATTGGATACGGAATGAATTATAAAAAATTAGTATAGGTATAAGCTCCTGGTATCATTGAAATCATTACCACTTGGTATAATTTTTAGTGGAATGGGTATCAAAATTATTATTGCATTTTTGCCCTATCTTTTTCTTTGTTGGGTTCAATCATACGAGGCCTTTAGCAGCAAACGCCAGTCATCGTTAGACCATCCCCAATCAAGACCTTCTATTTTTTTTTTCATTTTTTTGTTCTTTTCTCTCCTACTTTCAGACATAACTCATATGATGAAGCAATGCCACGTTTTCTTTTTTCTTGTCAATTGATACAATCCAAATTCAGAACTTGTCAATGGCTTGCAAATAGATTTTTTTGAACTTTGAGTGGGTGACACCAGACTCAAACTTACGTGGTTTCCTTCTCAAATTGAAGCTGAATCCCTTGAGATTGTGGCTGTAAATTCTGGTACTGATTCAAACTCAGAGGTGAGGCTATGCAGGGGCTTGTTGTGATGGGTGAAATTTTAGAGATCTAGGATTTGGATTTTGAGGATGAAGAAGGAGTGATACTAGCGAGAGGAAAGGTGGAAGTTTTTGAAATATTGAGTGATGGCAACAAGAAAACTTTTTAGATGCCATGGAGGAAGAGACAAATGGTGGGAGGTGATGGGGAAGACTAGTAGGAGGATGACGAGATGAGGGTGAAGGAGTGAATAGATAAAAAAATGTTTTATAAAATTATTTTGGAATCAAATATAGGAATTAACAAAACCCACCACATTACTCAGGAATGGAGAGTTGTTGACTTTTAGAATTCATTCCAAAATCCTCAATCCCACACCTCTTATCCAAGCACTTAAAATGGACATCATTCCAAATCTTGAATCCTATACCCTCAAACCAAGCACTCCCTTAATTTCGCAATGACTTCAATTGCTATTTAAAGGACACAATTGGAGCCATTGACGGGACACACATACCTATTTCTATCTCGAGTAGACAGCAGGTGGCATACACTAATAGACACAGAGTGTAGTCACAAAATGTGTTGGTTGTATACAATCATACTATGAGATTTGTATACATGTATGCAGGTTGGAAGAGAAGTGCCCATGATGCTCGTGTTTTGGATGGGGCTCTGACAGGTCCAAATCATTTCCCAATGCCCCCCAGATATACAAGAAAATCCATGTATGTATATTTAGCATTAATTTTCACAAAACTAGTTGGGCCCAAAAAACACATTTATGATAAGACAAATACTACTTGGTTGATTCCGTGTATCAAAACTTGCCCGCTTTCTTACCACCTTATAGAGGACGTCAAGCGGATGTAAGTGGTCAGAGAAGGGGGAAATTTGCCACTGCCAAAGAACTTTTTAATTACAGCCATTCTGCTTTATGCAATGTCATAAAGCGAACCTTTTGTGTCCTTAAGAGGAGATTTGCTATCTTATGGGGCGCCGTGCCAAATTACATGATAATTACTCAGATAAACATAATTGTTGCCTGTTGCCTGTTGTGCTGTGCACAATTTCATTAGAGATTAGTAGCCGAATGACCTTTACTTTGCAAACCTTGATATAGGAGATCCAGATATTCACGGTGCAATTTTTTCCTATCTGGAGATACAGCCGCTGCATCCCTCTCCTTCCTCCCCCGGCCGAAATGATTGACCAATGGATTGGCATGAGAGATGCAACGACAGTTCATATGTTCAATGCCTATGGAAATATACGCCATCGTTAATGAAGAATCATAAAAAATGTCCATGGACATTCGGGCAATGCTAGAGGAAAGGCAAAGCCGCTCGACAAAATTGCCTATTTATGTTAATCTTGGCAAATGTCATAAATATTATGCATATTTAATTTCGGCAAGTCCATCAATGCATGGTTGTACTTTGTCTGTGATCGTGCATGTCTGTAACCTCTTGTAATCAGTTTATGTTTATGGCTACAAACCTCAATTTTGGGGCCACAAAAACCTAGGTACTACCCAAATCACGCTAAAACTTTTTAATTAAAAACTCATTTGCAATGTAGAATGTTCTGGGTCTTGTCAAGAAGTCCGAAAATTTGTTTGAGGAGAACAGCTGCAAATCCAGGGCAGTAACCATTCGTTTGACCAAAGATGGGTGGCGGCTGAAATTTAGGTAGGTCGCGCTCCCGTACCTTTATGACCATACTCCCAGTCTATCCAGCTTTCAGTCAAGTCAACAGAACTATCATAATTGCAAGTCTTTTCATATAGATCAATGAGGGATATATGTTCCAAAAACCCACATTATGGAACTCAATTTTTCAAGGAAAATTATGTAAATTTGGGGTATCCAAACAGACTCATGTTCTCACCTGTTTGTAATGCTACTATGTAGGATTTAAATGGACTGATTAACTAGTTTTTTCTCTCAAAGAAAGAAAAATATGCAAATTTGTATGTTTTATTTATGTTGAAAACTGTAACAAGTCTCGGTGGCTTTCTAAGTTTTTTCTAATTATTAAAACGTTAGAAACATTATGACTATTTTTGTTTAGTTACAACTAAAACTATACTACTGTTAAATCGATAATGCACTCATAATGAATTTGCTTTCTCTTCTGTTTGGTATCATTATGTACACATAATATTGGTTAAAAATTTTTTGTCCAAATCACAGTAAATTGAGGACTAATTTCATAGATGAAATTTCTCTTAATAGCAGACTTTAATCATTTTGATATTTAACTTTTCTCCTATGTTTTTGTTCATTATGTACTAAAAAGTTTTGTTACAATGTATTCAACTAAACTACTAGAAGCCTTGATTGTGCCTTGCACAAAGATATATATATGTCATCGATATTTATTAAACTATTTTTTTTTGTACAAAATTAACACATTAATTTTCTTTTGGGACAAAATTAACAGGTGAGGTCTCTCTCAACGAGGAGCCACGCTCTTCGGATCTGTCTGTTGATTTGTTTACTACAAAAACAAATCTACATCGAATTCGGACAGAATATCCCATTTCAGATAAGAGATTCGTCATTGCAAGAGTAGTACAAGTTGGGCACACTAAGAACGAATTCACATTCACAAAACATGGCCCATACGAAAATCAGTCACCAAAGGAAGCGCCTTCACCAGGAACTGCTATTCACACTGAACGAGGATTTCCATCTCTCCTGTATTTTTCTCGAACACAGATTAGCTGACATAACCGCCATTTGCCAAATTGCACAAATCTCGTTTCCATCCCTCAAATTCTCACGCCATCTTCGTAATAAAGCAGTTCGTTTTGTTTACTTTTTTCGAAAAGTTTTAAAATTTCTCATATTTTCATGCGTGTTTTACAATTCTAGATTGAACCCATTTGGTAAATGTACTTGTAATTTAAACTTGGTTCAGAATTTTTAACGTTTAGCAACTTCGTTGATGCCTGTTTTTAGCGTTTAGGAGGTTCTTTTCTTCTCAAGACTCGACCTTTTCATTTGTGACACCCCTTTTTTCCTCACTTTTTCTTGGTTTCATATCTTTTTGATTGATTTTCTACCTTCTTTTGTCTTTTAGGAGGCTCTACTCTTCTCAACTCTTGATTTTTTTTTGTCACGCCTATTCTTTTTTGTCTCTGTTCCTCAGCTGTTTGATCAAATTTTCTATGCATAAGTTCTTGATAAGGAGGGATTAACTGTTGCATGCAAAGTCTTGAGATGGCTTTGCTAAAAGGGAGAGCTCTTGTTGGGTTGGCTGTGTTTCTTTTGCTGAACCTTGTGCAAGTTTATGGGAGAATTCCGACAACTGTAGAAGGACCATTTAAGCCAGTGACAGTTGATTTGGATAAGAGTTTTAGAGGGAATGCAATTGATTTGCCAGATACTGATCATAGGGTGCAGAGAAATGTTGTAGGTTTTGAGCCTGAACAAATTTCAGTCTCCCTTTCTTCAGATTATGATTCAGCTTGGGTTTCATGGATTACAGGTAACTTCATTTGATATATGTATGTTCTTGGTTCTGTCTCAATCTAGTATTTTGAAGTCATTTAATTTGTCTGTTTGGAGGAGTATTTAGCAATTGATGAGCTGGAAAAAAATATTCTAGATAAGAACAAGAAGGGAGTTATGGAAGTTTATTGACTGCCCTTTTATAAGTTGATGCTTTCTATGTCTTCTTGAAAAGTTCGAATTAGTTGTGACGTAGGTATCAGTGAGAACTTCAATTGGATTATGAATTGATGTTCATTTTTGAGAGCTACAGGAGAAGAACGCATGTTAATAGTTAGGATACGTAAGGATGAGCCTGATTTTTGTTAGATGAATCAGAAGAGGGTGTTATAGATGTTTGTTATATCAGTATGATCCTCTCAAATGTGATATTATTTGTTTGCAGGTGAATTTCAAATAGGTGACAACATCAAACCATTGAATCCCAAGACTCTAAAAAGTTTTGTATACTATGGGAAATCAAATCTCTTCTTGAATCACAAAGTAAAGGGTGATTCATTAATTTATAACCAGCTCTATCCATTTGAAGGCTTGCAGAACTACACCTCCGGGATCATACATCATGTCCAACTTACAGGTGAATTAACAAAATTTTAAGTCACAAATTTGGGAGCAACAGATCATTTCAGATGTAATGCTTATTTCAAACATAGAATTTTATAATTTTTAGTTGGATACATAAGAAAGGAACCGTCCAAGCTTTATGATTGGATTCTGAGTCCTGTCACATGATTGTCAGCCACATCTCAAGGTCAAAATGTAATATTGCTGGAAGAAGCTAAATAAGGTTCTGTAGCTGGTTCTCAGACTATCTGCCCTGCCAAAACACCCATGAAATAAAGTCAGGGTTTATGTGATGTCTGAGTAAAATATATGCAAGGTGCCCTCTAATAGGATATTGATTGGTTTAATGCCCTGGCATGATTTTAGAACAATGTTTTCACATATCTTGGTTGTGTTAAATTGAGTGGTTTTAAGTTTTTGATCTCTTGTGTTTCTCTTGACTTACTGGATTTCAACGGCAACCTGCCATTGTATTCTTTGTCCGGAAATACAGCCTGGTGATGTTAGGCAAGTCTCATTTGATAGTTTTGCAGCTTGCAAATGTGCGTAGTACATTGTTGTTAAGTTTCTTTTCTCAACAATGATTCCGAGACACCTTCCACTTGGTTTCAATTAAATTGAATCAAGCCAACTGCAACATCTAGTTTTTCTAAATGGATGCATGGGTCCAATAAAACCAACCTAATCTTACTTTCAGTAAACATTAAATGGTCCTACATTTACTAGAATCTATTTTAAATTCACATTGTATGTACTTGTTGCTATTGCTACTAATTCCATGCTTTCTTTAAGTAGAATAAAGGAGATCAATTTTGCTTCTGTCTTGGTGAAAACGTTTTTTTTTTCTCAAATGATGGGATTGGTTTTGTGCCCTGCAGGATTGGAACCCAACACTGAATATTATTATCGATGTGGAGATCCTTCAATACCAGCAATGAGTGATATCTATCAATTCAGGACTATGCCTGCTTCAGGTCCAAAAAACTACCCTAACAGAATAGCAGTGGTGGGAGACCTTGGTCTTACATACAATACAACTTCAACTGTTAGCCACTTGATAAGCAACCAGCCTGATCTTGTTCTATTGGTGGGGGATGTTTCCTACGCCAATCTGTATCTGACAAATGGAACTGGCGCTGATTGCTATTCTTGCTCGTTTCCTGATACACCCATCCATGAGACCTATCAACCTCGTTGGGATTACTGGGGAAGGTAGCTTTAATACTTTCGTCCATTGTACTTATTGTTCATGTAATAATGAGGCAAGCAACAGAAACTTCCAGCATGAGTAAAATAGTGAACTAGCTATCCATGAGTAGAATTATCTGCTCTTCTTTTGCTGTCAGTGCAACTGGTGCTACTAAAAGAGACCAGAAGACTCGTACACCTAGTTTGTTGAGTAAGAATGTCTATTTCTATCATAAAGAAGGCTGATTTCTCTCAAAATTAACTTCTGGTTTACAGCATTACTTGCAGTTGCTAGAACTCTTAATGGTTATCGTGCACATCACCAGTTTATTTATCACTCAATCCATCTTTAGTCTGTAATTTTTGTGAGTCTTTTTTAGACCTAGACTATTCCTTCCCTTTCTTCCCTAACATTCATTAGCTTCTTGCAGACTTCTACATTGAACAATAGAAATTGTTTCAGTTTTACTTCACTCTTTTACCGTCTGTGCAAGAGATTTCTTCCATAATTGTGCATTAGAACAAACGTAATAGAATATTATATTTTTGCAGGTTTATGCAGCCACTAGTGTCTAAAGTACCACTAATGGTAGTAGAGGGAAACCATGAGATCGAAGAACAAGTTGGGAATCGGACATTTGCAGCCTATAGTTCTCGGTTTGCATTTCCATCTAAAGAAAGTGGATCTTTGTCTACGTTCTACTTTTCATTCAATGCGGGAGGGATTCATTTCATAATGCTCGGTGCATATGTTGCATATAATAAGTCAGGTAATTGATGACATGCATTCACGTCTATCTGCTTGCTTGGGCCTTTTTTTGCTACTCTTTGATTGCCTGATGAAATTTGTCAGATTATGCATATCCTGTATCTGTGACATGTTGTCACTTTTTCATCAGCAATTAACTGAGATTTTTTTGTCTAGTTTTATGTCCAAAAGAATGTGAAGCAGTTTTATAGCTCATCTTTAACCTACTGAATTTCAGCTGATCAATACAAATGGTTGAAGAGAGACCTTGCAAAAGTTGACAGAAAAGTCACTCCTTGGCTGGTAGCAACTTGGCATCCTCCATGGTACTCAACATATGTAGCTCACTACAGGGAAGTTGAATGTATGAGGGTAGAGATGGAAGAAATACTGTACAAGTATGGTGTTGATATAGTCTTCAATGGACATGTAAGTGTGTAACAGTCACGTGAGTGCTTATACTGTAAATTTCAATAAAGCTATTCTTCAGCTTTATCTTGTATTTCTTTATAGTTTTTGTAATAAAAAATAGTAAATGTGGAAATAATCGTCTGAAATCTTACTGAAACAAATTTAATTATCACATGCTGTATACTTTTGCTGGTGACAAGCCCTTGTAGTAAATCCTACACCTGGTTCATTTGCTCCATCCATATTCTGGTCATTCGTTCTAGCATAAGAAAATCATCTTTATCAATTTTCTAATGATTCTTCTTCAATCCACATTACTTCAAATCGTTGAGCAGTTCCTGTTCTCTATTTTATTAACCTGGTTAGACCTTTGTGCAATCTCATAGCCACAGAAACAGCAGTATCCTGTCCTCCACCATTGCTGCTGTGTTCACAAGCATATATTGTTTAGGCTTAACGTACAAAGTTTGGTAATTCTTTTCATTGACTACTTTGAGCTATAATTACATTAAGCTTTTTTCCAACATAATTATTCAAACTTCATTGATTCGTGACAAAACAAAAATCAGTACTATGTTAATGTAATTTCATTTTCTGCAATCTGTAAAACAAAATCCTTTTCTTGCTTTAGAGATCTCAATGAGGCTTTGTTTTCTTTTTTTGGAACTTGTTTAAACTATAGGTTCATGCCTATGAGAGATCAAACAGAGTCTACAACTACACTCTGGATCCCTGTGGGCCTGTATACATAGCAGTTGGTGATGGTGGTAACAGGGAGAAAATGGCTATTAAACATGCCGATGAACCAGGGAACTGTCCAGATCCATCTACAACTCCGGACAGCTATATGGGTGGATTTTGTGCTTACAATTTTACATCAGGTCCAGCAGCTGGAAAGTTCTGTTGGGATCGACAGCCAGATTATAGTGCATACAGGGAAAGTAGCTTTGGACATGGTATTCTAGAGGTACAACTCTCTCTCTCTCTCTCTCCCTCCCTCCCCCTTGGATGCTAGTCCAAAGAAAGCATTACAACTTACTGACTAATAATTAGCTTCAAAATGCACCAACTAGAGCAGTTATGAAAACTAACCTGAGCAGTGAATTGTACACTAGAATATGCTTTGCAGAACTATAGTTAAATATTATCTGGAGAGTTGGAGGCAAAACTTGTTCAGTTAGTATGGTGTTTGGATGCCTTACTCTAGGGAATGGGATCTTTGTCTTTAACTGAAATAGGATTCTTTCTTCTAAGTTTTAGCAGTTTATTTATATTCAAGATGAAATTTGTACCTTTTGGTTCATTGAGGGAATTTTTGGTTGGGATACCAAGACTTCCAACTCTGAACATTAGAGTCTCGTGTAGTTGGGTGCTTTTCCAAACACTGAAATGAAAAAATATCCTGCTTTTTGGTGCTTTAATATTCTTACAATTAACTTCGTATCTCCTGTTGAGGATAGACCATAGGACACAACTCTGGAGAAGGCAAAAGATGACTATATTTCTTCATGTAATCTGCAGGTGAAGAATGAGACACATGCTCTGTGGACATGGCACCGGAATCAGGATATGTACAATGAAGCTGGTGATCAAATATACATTGTGAGACAACCCGAGAGATGCCCAGTTGAACCAAAGGTAATTAAGCTTTGGAGAGGAGGGAGTGTACCACACTAACTGGAATGCTATTTCTGGAACATTAATTGAAATATAGTTCTTACACGTAACTGATTAGACATCTTAACTGATTGAATGGGGAGTCGAATGGTAAATTAAGGCCTAGACTTTAATATGTCAAGACAAAGGGGGATATTTGGGTGGGGAAACACAATATAGTGCATGAAGAAGCAGTATTTTTTCTATATTGATTACCAAACATCAGCAGGTTAGTTGCACACTTAGTTCAAATAAAGAGAACCTTGATTTGACCTTACTTCAACTAACCTATAAGCTACAGACATGACTATTTGTTTAGTTGAAGCAAATATAAGCAGTTTGCAGATTCTGATTTTCGTTTCCATCTTATCTTTATATTTTCTGATGACTACATTTCTTGCTTTCTCGTTTGCGCTCAGGTCTCTTCTTCAGTTGAATTCTAGATTTTGAATTCAATGCCAGATGAACTCAAAACTTGGAGCATGTTAATTCCAATCTTTGCGCTTCAGTATTTTGAAGACGGCTTTCATACTATTACTATATAGGATGATAGGAAGATTAAAAGAAATTTACAGAGTTATCCATGTTACAATTAAATGTTGAAGAAGGTCCTCTTCTGGTTTTCTTGCTACGTACTTCAGAGAAAATGTGTGTTATGGGAGTTACGGGTGAAGCAAGAGCTGTAAACAGGCAAATCAAAGTATTGAAGTCTCACTTGACTACGAGAATATGAAATTCCTATTCTAGTCGTAATGCACTCTTGAAGATGAATTTTGACCCTCAATATAGTCTCTTTCAAGAGCACCAGTTTATAAGTTGGGTTAATTTATATACACTGTCAGTGTATACACTATCATCATTAAATATATAACACGTGTGCAAAATTTGAATTTGAAATTATAAGTTTTTATTGTTTTCATCGTTATCTGCCGACGATTTCGATACGTCGCTCTGCAAATATCAAACATAGAAAACACTCACAAGCCTTGCTCTTTTTCGTTTTGGTGATCACCAACATTTTCCAAGAACTTCAGTGGATTTTTCGCAAGTTGGTTTAAGAGGATGGAGAATTCAGGAAAAAGAAGGTGGAACTAGAAATCGCAGAATGGCGTAGTGAGAACTCCAGTAGTTGAAATGTAGTCCAACTAAGAATGCATGAATTAAACTTCTCCAATTGGGATCAAGGCATGAAGAGAATTAAGCAGCCAAAAGAGAACATTACATCAAAAGCCTTAAATATTTTTTTGCTACAAAACTGCTGAGCGGCTGAGACAAGGAGCCTCATACCTAACAAAACTTCACTAACCTAGTCTTCACAATCACTTAAGGCCCTGTTGCTGTTCTCTCTCAGGGCAATATTAGGGTTCAGAAATGAGAAAGAGTACAAGCAAGAAAGATGAAAGAGTTAAGGTAGTCGCGGTAGAGGATGGTAGAGAAGTAGCTTTAGAATTCTGTGTTGCAGGAACTCCACCACCCAGCCCTGGTCTGAAGCCTCCACCGTTGTTTAAGGGTGTAGTCTCCGGTGGTGGTGGTGCGGTCAAAGATGGACTAGTGATTGGATTGGTTGGCATACCACCTACGGTAGGTGGTCCTCCCGCAGCGCTGCAAGTTTCACAATCCAAACATTGCATTGTAATTTTAGGCTGTTAAAAAAGGCCAAAATTTTTAACAGAAAAAAAAATGCAAGTGCAGATACAGCAGGTGCAGAGGCAGATGAGGAGTTTGACAAGAGAAAGAAGTGAAAATTCAAAGAAGACTAGCCATCGAAACAAATTGAAGGCCAGAATCTTAGTTCTTTGAATGGACAATAATATGCTCTGCACTCCAACCCTTGAAGCACCTTTCAGAAATCCCCTTGGCCAACTTGCCATCTTTTCCTTTCCAAAATTCCTTGCAAAAGAGCAGTGACAGAATAGAAGAGAAAAGCAGATGCCTAAAGGACCACCTAGAAGTGCATCCCAAGATTGTAATGCAAATTTTCGGGGAAAATTGTCATTCTTCTCTATTCCCTTATTTGCATTTGGGATACTACATTATATGATTCTATGGTTTAGGTTGGTGTTGATCCAGATAGAGGCAATGCTTGACATGATTGAACGATTAGATGCTGATTCATAATCTTTCTAAGCCTTCTCTTGTGTGCCGATTCTAAGAATGAATAGGACATGTGCCCATAAGCTCCTTTTATCAAATTAACCAACTTCTCCTCTCCTCTTTCAAACCAGGTCCAAAAACATAAGAAACTCTTATACAGCAATATTACGAGTATATAAGCAATTAATGTCTGTAGTGGTTTCTGAAAGCTTCTGGTATGGGATCATCACTCCATCACCCTGATTTATAACACATTTAGAGATGATGGTTTACAAGAAAAATTGCTATAGCAGGATGATAGCCGTCAAACATTCTCTTTGTATAATGTGAATAAATATTATGATACAATCTCTTCTATGTAGATCACTAGCTAAATTGCAGGCTGTGGAAACTTTAGATTCTTACCCTGAATTAAAAAAAAAAAAGAATTGGAAGAATTTACAGATTCCAAGTTTCTGACTTTATTATAAATTACAAGTTGTTCCTTGAAAGGCATTGAATCCAATATTTTAAGAGTCTTACCTTTACAGTCTTGATATCCATCAGAATATTCTGCTTGAATCTTTAAATATAATACGTTCGTTTCTTGAACTTTTCCATTCATCTAATAGTCTTTAATTATCAATATGAATGCTTAGACAGTTCTCTGGCCGTATTTCAACAAGATTAAGGCCTTGTTTGGACAGCCATTTTCCGCCTGAAAATTGCGTCGTTTTCCGTGATCACATTTTCCTATTATCTTTTTTCCTTACATGCATCAAATTGTTACAGTATTTTTTCTACAAAAAAATCCTAAAAAATGCAATCCAAACACAACCTTAAGCTTTCGTCTCTTCAACATTTGTACCTTGCACTTGATCAGTTATGCTGGAAATTGTGACTTCTTTCTTTCCTTAAAAAATTTTTTAAGAGAAGCGTTACAAGAGAAGGGTTTTGGGTTTTGGGATGGGAGGGGAGGGGAGAGGAGGGGAGGAGGGGTGGGGGGCACTGTATATCACCTGCAAGTCCTCTTGCTTTTTTGAAATCATTTTATTAATACAACTTATGCCTCCTGATATTATTATAGTATTAAGTTAGATCAATTTTATTTTAGATCCTTCAACAATAAATGTGCATCCATTTCAGTCCACTTTACATTTTAAAATAATACAATTCTCCCACTTCAATATAATCATTGACTGAATCGTCAAATCGAACAAATATAGTTGGCAAGAATGCTCAAAGTGGCACGGAAGATTTTGTTAGTTTCAGCACAATGATTATACTGAAGTGGGACAAATTTCATAATTTAAAGTATAAAGAGTCCACAATTCAAATTTAAGGACTAAAATAAGAAAGCATCTATAGTTTAATGATCTAAAATAAAATTAACTGCACTAATTTTAGCGCCAAAGCCCAATTTCACTAAATGGTGGCAAATTTCTAGAAATAATGCTGAAAAAAGATTATCACAAAGGTGGGGTTATGTGGAAAAATTTTCTCTTTTAATATTGCCACATTTGATAAATGCAATGACATTTTTTTTTGTAATTTTTTAAAATGTCCTCAATGATATTTTTAAAAAATCGTGTCATCCCATGTAATTAGATTCGGCGACTAAAAGCAAGATTAATTTAAAAAAAAAAAAAAACAAGTAAGTTTCAGCACACAAAGTTTTTTTTAACTATTAGAGTCACCGCATATATTTTTCTTTTTTTTTTTAATCCAAGGAATCTAATTGTTGATCAATGGCTAAATCCCCTCAATATTCATGAAAATGTCGTTTGGGAAAAAAAAAGAAAAAAAGTGAGCCATTGATCAAAAGCTTTTACGGTCGTTGGATGGCCACAAAACATCTATATATAGCCCCAATTCTGAAGTTTGAATCCACACCATCTCCATTTTGCCTCCATTTCTCTTTGCCTATTCTGCTACTCTGCAACTCTCCAAAAATAGGGAGAGAGAAATGGAAAAGCAAAAAATGAGGATGCTACGAGTTCAAGATTCAAAATTGAGAGTATATATAGATATTTTGTAGCCATCCAACAGCTATAAAAGCTGTTGATCAACAGTTATCTTTTTTTAAAAATTTTTATTTTTTTCAAATAGTATCTCGTGAACATCAAAAGAATCTAGCCTTTCATCAACGGTTGATCAATAGTTAGATTCCTTGGATTAAAAAAAAAAAGAAAAATATGTTGTCGCATCTCTCTAATAGTTTTTTGTTCAAAAAAATTTGTTTGAGTCACTTCATATTTTTTTTAAAAAAAAATTGTTTGCAATGACTCAAAAAAAAATTTTTTTTTTGCTAAAAAAGCTTTGTGTGAGTCGCCATTTGTATTAAAAAATTTAAATCCTGCTTTCAGTTGTCGTACCTGATTACTTGCGGCAACACAGTTTTTTTTTTCTTTTAAATTCGTTCAGAACATTTTAAAAATAAAAAGTGACTGTCATCACATTCGTCAAATGTGGCAAACATTAGCAAAGAAAAAACTTTCCTAGCATTCATCGAATGTGGCAAATGTTAAAAAGAAAAACCTTTCTCACATGACTCCACTTTTATGATAACTTTTTTTCTAGTATTATTTCTAGAAATTTGCCTAAATGGCCAATATGACTAAATGATGAATTGGCCACCAGGCCCACCACACATTTAATATTTTTTTAATCCTTTTCTTTTAAGTGTAAGTGGAAGAGATCGAATTCAATATCTCTCACTTGCACACCGTTCGTCAAACCACTCAATTCATCTCTCCTCCCTACCGCACATTTAATTTAACTCTTCTTATCGAATATAAGAGTATAAAGTACAAATCCACCATTTTAAGTCAACAGCTAATTCCTCAAGCTGTAATCCTTTCAAAAAAAGATCGAGCAATTATGGATGTATAGAGTTCTATTCTTGTTCTATGCCCATCGTACCAAACATGGCTGTTGCGCTTACATGGCATGATGACCCAAAAAGTTAAAATTCGTGTTGGCACAATGGGCCTAAAAGATTTTTAAAAAATTACTGTTACTTATAGCAGTTGATCCAATGTGTTCTCTTACTTTACTTCGCAAGAAATAGCTATTTCTCACCTCCCTCTCTCTTTTTCAAATGGAGGAGAGAGAGAGAGAGAGAGAGAGATGCTATTGTTTAGAGAGAAGTAGAAGAGAAACACGAAAATAAAATTTTAGAGAGAGAAATGGAGGTGAAAAATTGATACTTCTTGCAAAGTAATGCAAGAGAACGCATTTATATAATGGTTGAGAGCTAGTAGTTGATGAATGTTGGATCAACAACAAGAAGTAACAATAACTTTTTTTTTAAATTTTTCAGATTTGTCGCGCCAATATGGCACAATAGGCCATAAAAAATTTCAATTTTTTGGACCATCGTGCCATGTAGATGTGACAATCATGTTTGTTTTTTGAAAAAAAAAAATTGTTTGTGGCATAGTTATTTAAAAGAAATTGCTTGACGGACCTGTCATGTTATGTAGACATGACAGGTATAGAATAAGAATAGAACTTTACACATTTATATTTGACCAATCGTTTTTTAAAGGATCACATTATGAGGAATTAGCCAAACATACCGCGGCAGCAAAGTTGTGTAGCAATATCAACAGGCACAAGTGATGAATTGAGGTGATTTTTTCTTTTTTTTTGTTGCAATGATAATATTCTTATAATCTAATCTATCATAATTTACGATGAAAGTGAGTCAATGGAAATAGAAACTCTGCGAAGAAAGTCATAAAAGGCAGCCACATACAGTGACTTGTGGGGTCGATGCTAATTTTGGAATCAGGTGCTGATGTGGGGTCGTACCCCCCCCTTTCAATAAGATCTCAGCCGTGCAAATTGCCATCTAAACAATAAGAACGATCCTGCGGTCTAAGTCTAACGTTGAAGACAACACAGCCCAAGAACCAACTCTGCAGTAAAGCAGGCTACCAAAGCCACGTACAAACAATCAGCCACGTCCATTCTCGTCCACATTTACACGTGGAAGACATCCATTGAATACGTCCACGTGAGAATGCACAATGGACAAACCCGAACACCTAAGCATCCTATACAACGTACATCACCCATGAGGCGCTCGGCGCACCCCATGATCCATCCATCACCTTAGGGTGATGTCAAAAAAGTTAATGCCATGACCAAATTTTTCCATCAAATTTTAGAGCCCGTTGAATTGCAATTTTTTGGAATTTTTATAAAAAAAATATTGTAATAATTTGATATATGTGAAATAAAAAGATGAATAGAAAATGTGTTTGCGAAAACGTAGAAGTTTTTTTTTGATGAAAAATAACTTTCCAAATAAGACTGAAAAGAAAGATCATGTATAAAAGTTAAACGAAAAAAGATGACTAAAAAAATTGTATTCATGAAAAATGTAAAAATTATATCGTAGAAATTTGATGTATATGAAGAAAAAAGATGATTAAAAAATTATATTAATGAAAAAGAGTAAAAAAATTTTTTGAAAAAGAATTGCAATCCAAACAAGGGCTTATCCTTTTAAGTCAGGATTTCTTTTAGACTTAAAAAGGGGATAATCTTGAAATTGTTACAAAAGATTATCATGTGGGATCGATTTCTGAGTTATGAATATTAATAACTCGCGAAAAATGATATTATTAAAAGTTTAATGTTAATATCACAGCAAATTTTTTTTTTTTAAATAATCGACAAATTTACTCCTTTTAAGTCAGATCAAATGTTACTATGATTTTGACTTAGAAGGTGATAGTTTGTCATTTCAACAAAAATTACTGTGACATTAAACGGTTGCAATCTCATCTGTCATGATGACCGATAATTGGCCAAGCTTAATAAGTCACAAATGAGTCCTATGTCTAATGACAGAAAAACAAGCCAGCAGCCAAGATTGAGGTATCATATGAGCCTAAAATGTTTTGGATTCAAGTTCTATGGTTGAGAGAAGGATATATAGTCTAACATCTTATTATATTCGTAATCTTATTTATTTTTTGTTAATTGTCCAATCCCAATGTTGGCTGCTCTACTTATAATCTTTTTGTTTTTTTTTTTTGAACAAATAGACCAAAAAGAAACAGTAAATATATACATCTTCTTATATGTAAGATGGCTTAATACCGATAATTAGTGAAAAATAATTGTGTAACCAAAGAAAATACCTAAAAATTAAAGCTTAATTTGGGTCTCTAAATAGTACTAACAAGACTACATCACAAAAAGAAAGTATGAAAAGAATAGAACAACCTTGACAATTCATGCTTTTAAAGGAAAAAACTGCAACTATGCAACTAAAGATAGGACTCAAATCACAGACGACAAAGCACTAAAGAGAATGAAACAAAAGAAAAGGAGAAAAAGCATACCTCGGAGATGATGGATAAACGCAAGATCCATAGCCTGAAAATCCAAAATGAAGAAAAGAACAAAAAATATATATATATATAAAATCAGGCACAAATTCCCAAAAGAAAACACATATATACGCATGCAACCAGTTATCTTGAAAAGGGTTGGAGAGAAACAAATTACTTGGATCAGTTTTGGCTATGGTGGAGGTGCCAGCAAAGCTACAGGATCCTGGAGCCATGGCCTTGCGCTGGTAATAACTATTGAAGGCATAAGAAGCATGAGCAATGAGAGTGTTGGGAAGATAACACAGCCCAGTTGATTGAAGAGGTGCACAATCTGCACCAGCACTGCAAGCATAGTCCAGTGCTGTTTGCAAAGCTTGATCACTTGCATCACTTCTGGCTACACACCATGTTGCTGCTGCCACATGGATGACTAAACTACTGCTGATGAGTAGTAGTGCGTGTAGTGTGTGTATTCTCATCTGCACCACATTAGATGATGGTGCCATGGATTTTGTTAAGAGGTGGGATTGTAGATTTTGAGGTGATAAAGGCAAAAGCAAGGGAGAGTTTTTTTTAATTTTTTTTTTTGAGAGTGGGGTAGGAAGAGAGAGAGAGAGAGAGGGGGGGGGGTTGCAGAAACAGGGTGCAGTGTCCAGGAGCAGAAGCATAAAGAATCTGAGATGTTCTTTTATAAATAATTCTGTACCTTTTTCTTTTTTAATTTCAGTTTGTGTTCTTCCTTTTTGTTCTTTTGGTTTGCTTTTACTTTTTTGTGTTTGAATGAGATGGGTGAATATCTTTTTGGAGACTGGAGAGTGAATTCAGATTCCATTCGAATTAAGGTGTTCTCTTTTGTCTGTCTCTAGTGGTCACAGGAATTCTTTATTTTATTTATTTGTTTTTCTTGCAGATAGGAAGTTGTCTGCTTGAGAGCATGTCAAATTCCAAAAATTAACGAGTTTATTTACTCCAAGACAGCTTGTCTATTTTTAAAGGACATTTCTTAATGTGTTTTATCAAAAACTTTCGGATGCGGCGTTTTCGAAAACTTTTCACACAAAAAATTTTTTTTTCGACTACCTTCAACATTCCAAATCTAACCCTGAAATATGATTTTGGAGACTGCAATAATAGTATTGAATTTAGCGAAAAATAACTAGAAAATTATGAAATAAACATTGAAAGTAATGGGAGGAGGGGAGAAATGTGATTGATGGTGAGGTGGAAGGAGGCTGGGCAGGGAGGGGGAGAGACCTGGAGAGGGATGCATAGAAACCAGGCGAGAGTGGAGGTGGAGGTGGAGGTGAGGGGAGGTAACCTTTTGCATGTTAACACAAGTCTAGAGATACATGAGGTGTCTTTTAAAAGGTACGAGTCCATTTGGATGATGAATTTTTTGGATGTTTATATAAAATTTTACTACAATTCAATGTAGAAATTGTAGAAAGGGAAAATGCCGGTTTTCATCTCCAAACTTTGGAGTAAGGACACATTTCGTCCCTCAACTTTTGGGCACGACACATTTGATGTCTGAATTAATAATTTTTGATCAATGTCATGCTCAAATGGCAATTTAGCCAATTTTTAACGGAACTGGTCACGTGAAAATCACATGACCGTTAAGTAAACTTAAATCACATTTTTAACAAACCCTGCAAGTTCTTTATGGAAAACTGGCAGATTTTGTAGTATGTTTTGTACCAGATCTTTATGGGAAACATACCAACTTTTTATAGGAAAAATTGGTTAAATAGCGTCCAAAGGAAAACTAGTATGTTTTGTATTTAATATAAATTAAATATGTGAAAGTTAAAAAAAATAATAAATTGCCCATAATATATCAACTCTTTATGGGAAACTGGCAGGTTTTGTTAAAAATGTGATTTAAGTTTACTTAACGATCATGTGATTTTCACGTGATCAGTTCCGTTAAAAATTGGCTAAATTACCGTTTGAGGATGACATTGGTCAAAAAATATTAATTCAGACATCAAATGTGTCATGCCCAAAAGTTGAGGGACAAAATGTGTCCTTACCCCAAAGTTTGGGGATGAAAACCGGTATTTTCCCTTGTAGAAAAACTTATATATAAGGTTTGGCAAAATGAATTTTTTTTCCGTTTTTTCTTTTTTTTTTTTCCCCCTTTGTTCTTCTTCTCCGCTCTCTCCTTCCTCCCTCTCCACTGCTAGCCACTGGCAGCTGCCACCATCTCAACCTTTTTTTTTTCTCTTTCTCTTTGCTCCTCTCTCCCCTCTCCTCCTCTCGCAACTAGAGGGGGAGGGGAGTAGGGGAGAAAGAGGAAGAGCGGGGGAGAGCAGGGGAGAAAGGGGAGAGAAAGGAGGATAAGGGAGAAAGGGAGGAGGAGGAGGAGGAAGAAAGAAAGGATGGATGTTGGAGCATCAGCTTCATAAGAGTGCCAGTGAGTAGTGGTGGTTGAGACTTGAGATGGGGGAGGAGGAAGCAAAAAAAAGGGAAAGAAAGAAAAAATTTTGCGTGTTTTTAGGTATTTTAAAATGTGTATATTAAAAATTTTGGACATTTTCCGAGAGTTACTACGGACAAAGTTATAAAAAAAAACTTATCTATTAAAAATATGACAAAAAAACTCGAGTGCCAAACAAGACCATATTGCAACTCCATTGACAAATCATACTTATAAAAAAACCAAAAAAGATGCCATTGATATTCCCTAAGAAGATAATTAAAAGATATGTATAGGGCTTTTGATAACAAAAAATACGTTCTTCTCTCAAAACAGATGTCAGGGTATATAGAATCTTGCAGCACCTCATTTCTCCCGTCGTACATAGGACGGTTAATGTACCTTAAAGAGAAAACAAAGTCCTTTAAGGAGTACTGGGCTGCTTGAATTCCTTCAGGAGATCGCCTGACATTGTTGAATGTACGGAGTACTGCTTCTTCAAAATTTCTTTATTTGCTGGCTTTGCCTTTTGTGCTCGTAAAACAATTCTCTGTAATTAATGCACAAATGAGGTACAACTTTAGGTCAAACTGCAAAAATAACAAGAAGAAGAAGAAGAAGAAGATTTCATAGATTAAATGAGTAGAAAAATAAATACCTTTCGATGTTCAAGGCCAAACTGCAAAAATTCATTCTCACAGTTTTCCACCATTTTGGCCAAGCTCTTTAAATTCTTTATTGTAACACCATTGAAAGAAAGAACCCGTACAAAGAATAGGATTCAATGATAAAATGCATGAGAGTCTATGTTAATTCAAGTAATAGATGTATTTCTATTTAATCAAGTAAAACGGTTCTTTTGGGAGAGCTCTCAATCTTTGGAATGTGATATTTCCATAAATAATATCAAAAAATAGTAAAACTCTATCATTTAATAATCACTGTTATTCCCATGCTTCTATGTAGATTCATTAAGTAACATAATGCTTTGATGATATATCAAATATAGCAAACAGAATTCCATCGATCTAATTCATGAACTTACATGATAACTATCTTACAAAATATCAAGATAAATAATAGTGAAATGTCCTTTAGATTTATTTGTGATCTTTGAGGAACTGTATGAGGTGAAAATCTCATGTACGGTTCCGTAATAGTAATGGGAACAGTTGAGATTATCTCAGTCAACGACTATGATTATCTAACAATTCAAGTACGGTTGACATAGTTGAAGCGCAGTCAAAATATGGATTTTGGGGATGGAATTTATGGCGTCAACCTATAGAATTTATCATTTTTCTAATTTCTTCTTTAGCCGAGTGTGAGAGATTGCCTTTTGATTTACCAGAAGCCGAAGAAGAATTAGTAGCAGGCTTCCAAACTAAATATTCAGGTTCTTTGGTGTGTTTGTCACTTTAAAATGGGTTTAATGAAATTATATATATGCATTTTCTAATCACATCCATATCTTTGAAGTCATCCTTGTCGTAGGCATCATTTATCTCTCCTGAAAGCACCTGCTAAACACATATAGGAAAATCCGGAAATTACAAATGCTGTGACTTTGAAAATTACTAATTACTCTTGACCACCATTTCTCCCACTTTATAGCGATATTCTATTTCTTTATTTTTAATTTTTAGGTATTTTCACTCCTTAGTTTTTAGTTACTCAGGTGAATCTTTAAAATTTCAATCGATCAAAAGTAATTGTTGAAAAAGTTTTAGTTACTATTCTGTGTTTGAATGAGATGGGTGAATGTGTTTTTGGAGAGTGCATTGAGACTCCATTCCAAGGTGTTCTCTTGTGTCTGTCTCTAGAACCATTGGAAAATGGTCCCTAAAAGAATGACAATTTAGCAAAAAAAAAAAAAAAAAAGAGGGAAAATCTATTAAATATCTTAAATTTTGTATCTCATGCAAAAATAGTTTGGTACAAAATTGTTGCTTTATTACAGGTTTTGAATTGTGTTTCTCTTAATTGACATTTTATACTCGCTTTTTCTTAACCCAAAACCTCTACTTACAATCTCTCCCCACTTATCATCCAATTCAACCATTCTCTGACATCGTATACTTCGAAAACCTTATAAAAGAATTTTTTTTTTTTTTTTATAAAAGTTTGCTAGGTATGGAGTTAACAAAAGATCCCAGACTAGGCTCTTTCCCATTGAAATGGAAAGTACTTCTCTCTATTACACCACACTAGAATGAATTTGGATGTTGTTTTTAAAAATCAATACAGTTCATAATGTACTTCATCACTTATGTTAGTTATATACAAAGATCCATATTAAATTGATCAAGTTTTACCATTTGATTAATCATTACAAATTTTGTATTAGGAATATGACTTATGTTTGACTGTTCAAATATTTCATGTAAATTGAATGCCAAAATATTCCCAAGTAAATTTTAATATTTAATATGTTATTCTAACCATCAAATTAATAATAATAATGACATTATCAAATGATTTTTTAAAAAATGTAATAAAATAAATATACCCAAATGGAGAAAAATCTAATGGAGAGGATTCTAATCCAATGAAGCCCAACTAAAACAAAATGAGAGAGTGAAAAAAAAAAAAACCCAACTATATATAGTATTTATAGTTTTTTCTCATTCTTTATTTCCATGTGGTGATGTTTGTTGAGTAGTTTCAAGTTCACTATTTTTTACTATGGTTTAAATCCCAATATCCCAAAAAAGGTTCGAATGAAAATGCATATTACCTCCATATCTTCAAAATCATCATCTGTAAGCACCTGCCAGATATAAAAGGAGCAAAATCATTAACATAGCACTTGAAATTACTAGTTGTTAATTACTTGATTGTCTTGACAAGCACAATAATAAATTTTAGCAAACTTCAAACGGGAAAATACCCGTGAAAGTATTACAATCTCTTTGTCTGGAGATTGCATCAGCTCAGCAAACTTTGCCACCATCCGCAATTAGGGATGTACGCGAGCCGAGCTACTCGCGAGTAGCTCGCGAGTAGATCGGTCAACGACTCGGCTCGAACTCGGGTTGACCGAGTTCGAGCCGAGTTTCGAGTAGCTCGAATGAAAATCGAGTCGAGTTTCGAGTCGAAATAGCCCAGCTCGAGTCGAGTCGAGTAGCTCGACGAGTCGGAGTTATTTAAATAATATATATGTATTATAATTATAAAATGACCATTATGGGTATAAGTTATGTGAAATTTACAATATATCCTTCTTTATAATAAAATCCTATAATGGCAAAAAAGTAATAACATAATTGTAAAAAGACCTAAAATGAAAAAAATTTTCGAGCCTCGAGTATCGAGTCAAGCCTCGAGCCTAAAGGAAATTTTTCGAGTCGAGTATCGAGTATCGATTTTTTGGGCGAGCTCGAGCTCGAGTCGAGCTCGAGCTTTGGTGTATATGAGTCGAGTCGAGCTCGAGTATAGCAATACTCGAGCTCGACTCGGCTCGATTACACCCCTATCCGCAATGGTGTATGCCCTCCTCCACCGTGGTGAAACTGGTCAAGCATAAAAAGTAATAGTAACAATAAAACTTTTTGTTAGGGTATTTTTTTTGGGAGAAATTGTATATGGTTTGGAATTAAGGTGGTAATATTAATAATTTTCGTTGGTCCTTCCCTTTCTATTTGTGTACTAAGAACAGAATAGAAGTATCTTGTCCTACCCAATAACTAATAATAATGCAAAACTTCTGTAAAACGGTCAAGACTTTAGCCAACCAATTATAACTAATAGTACGTATAATTTTAAGGATTTTTCTAACGGATGCTCATACGGCGCTCATTAATACACTTATCATTCACCTAACCTATCATGTATATATATATATCAATAATTATTACCTCTCTTGCATTTATATACTTTCCCTAATTAATCATACTTACCTTTCCTCGTATTTATGTACTTTTCCTAATTAATCTTTCATTTTCAAAAACATGATACCTGAAATATATTTTAACGAATGCGGATAGGGCACCCGTTAGAAAAACCCTAATTTTAAAAGATATGTTATGATTAGAGTTTATTGTATTGTAACTATACCCTACAAATACTAAGATAATGGAAATCCTCTACCTCTATGAATATTCATGAAATTCAGTTCAACTCCCTAAACCATTTTCCTCAATCTTGCTAGGGTTTTTGGTATAAGGAGGAAAATATGCATACAATTTCCAAATGACGGAACCAGGGTGATCAAGAGTGCAAACTAGAGACCTAAGGTGTTAATTTTTTTTTTAATATATACAAATGAAGTTGAAATGCAGGGGCCTAATAAATGTGGATGTGTTCATTAACATTATAAATTGAGAGTAATCTAGGGATATCAAGGTTAAGAAAAAATCCATTAAAAAAAATTATTGGGACAACAATTTACAGTTAAGAGAATCTAATTTTGGTTTGTTTGGATAGTGCTTTTATCCCAAATAATATTCGCTTACATCATAAACACATTTCCCAACCCACCTTTTTATATTTCCAATCACCTTTTTATCTCACATACATCACATCACAAAAAGTGCTACAGTAATTATTCCAAATAATATTTCAAATAATACACTTGTTTCAAATAATATTTCAAACTCTATTGTTGTTTGACGAAAAAAAATTAATTTAAAGCAATAAACTTGACTTAATAGCTTAGCTAATGTTGCTGGTCAAGATTGAGTATATCTCGTTCTTGCACAGCTAGGGGTATCAAGGATCACAATTAAACTGAAAATAATGTAGCTTTCAAATTTGATTTGTTATTTATTCATAGAATTTAAAATTGTCTTTGAGTTAAAATGACATTTTATCAAGTTAAGCTCAATTGGAACTCAAGTGACTTTTTTTGTTGCTTTTTTACATGAATTCCATGACTTTCTGCTTATCAAGCCAAATTGGGAAGAGATCGATATGCTATCTATGCCATACTTATTAATTATATATATATTTCACACTAAATCTTTGTTTCATTGGGTTGTGCTCTGTCTAATGTTTGACCATTACTTGGTAGATGAGAAATTTATTTATGAACCAAAAGGCCATTGAATTTGACAACAGAATTTGATCAAGGTACTAAAGGGGCGCTTGGTTCTTGCTTTGGAATTGGAAAGAGAAATGGAATGATGGATAAAGAGCCCATTAATGAGGGTTTTGGTTAATTCCTCCCAGTTTGGTCGGAAATCATGAATGACCAAATTTTAAAGTATGATTCCAATATTTTAATTTCCATTGCACTGGACCAAGCGCGCAATATTGGAATTATTGTAATTCTAATACCAAAACTCCTTAACCAAGCGGCCCCTAAAACTTCCACGTCTTTATGATATTTGGGAACAGAACAGCTTGGTGGAGGGAATGGATTTCAAATTAGTCTGCAATATAACACACTGTAAGCCCAGAATAGTGGGATCTGTCATGAGGACTAGAGCTCGAACTGATACAGCCGTTTGGCACAGGGAAGTGAAAATTGTGTCCTTTTTTAACATAAAATGGGTACCAAAAGATATAGGGGAAAAAAGAGTTAAGGTCTTTGGGGTCTGCAGCCTGAACAGAAAGATCAGATTGGCAACCATAAAGGTGAATTGTGTGCAACGCAAAATCAGCTCAACCAAAGTCATACAAGGCGAAAGGATCAATAAAGCTTTGTATTTCCCAAATTGGGGCAAGAACGAATATGGATCCAAAATCAGGGCCAATAGAAAAGAAAAAAACACATGGTTTTCCCTTGATTAGTACATCTTTTAAACTCATTTCACTTCAAAAAAGAATTGTATTGGATATTGTGTAATTGTGGTTTAGACTCTCTCTCTCTCTCTCTCTCATATGGTGCGTTGGTTGCACCAAAACTCTTATAAGAAATGAACAAAAAAAATGCAAAATGTTTCAAACTCTTTCATAGAACAAAATGTAGGCCTCTGAGTGAAGAACTTCTTCCAGAGAAGCCTCACGCACGTAAGCATCACTGGCATGATACCACACATAATCTCCATTCTGACTTTCAGTGTTCTTCATGCCTCCCCTCACATATGCAACATAGTGGCCTCCCCTCATTGATCCCATATGTTCCACCAACCCCACCAAATTGTATTTGTATCTGTCCCTCTCCATGCACCTGTAGGCAAAAAAAAAAAAAAAATTTAAGCAGCAGTCAGAAGATGTTTTGTCGGTGTATTCTGCCAAATGAAATCAAGTCCTGAGCTTTCTAACCAGAAAGACCATAGCAATAAAAATATTAGTAGCTGTGACATAAAAATCAAGCATATGTGAAAAATGCATGAAAAATCAAAGTCGAGCATAAAATTGGACAACCACAGATATAATCAGATGTGGTATAACAAGATCAGAGAAATAATGAAATCCAATCTTTCATTTCTGACAATATCTTATTGGAGAGTTGCATGGCAGTAGCATCAACAGATTCTCGTAAATAAAAATTACATAAGATGGATCTTTGCCAAGAGGGCATTATTATTTACAAGTTCTTGCAATTAGTGACATTCCTCTATTTACGCGATGATACCAGCTAATCAACTAGCTCTGCCAGATGCTAAAATGCTCTACACTGATTAGTCATCCAGCATATAGTATATTAGACGTCCAAACTAAGAGTAAGGGAAGGATGAGTAGGTGGTAATTGAGGTAACGTAGATGCTTTTACTTCCAAACTAGAATCAAAGAGATCAGAAAGCACTTATTCCTTTTCCATCTGTAACCAAATCAACAAATTGACTTCCCGAAGTTCCTTGCCAGGATGATTTAAAACTACTACTATCAATCAAAATTCAAAAGTTGTACTTCTCCCGACTCCAAAAAGAGTTAGAAGACAACGTGCAAGTCTAATTTGACATTCATGAAAAAGTTTTGCCCCCAAGTTCAGCAATTTTTGTTCAGCAGTTGAATCTCTTGGTTGAATGAAGACCGAAACAGAGGAAAGAATTCAAAGTCTTGCAGTTATAACTCTGGCGTGCCTCTAATTTTGGTGCCTTTTGAGATGTCCACACTTTTAAAATTACATGAGGTGTGGTGTTTTACGTGTTATCTTATCGACGGAAAGTAAAGCATTTGATTTATGAGAAGATACACCTAGATCCAATTTTGTGTGCTATACTTTATGGCATAGCAAAGGTCTTCAATTTGACACAAAGTGACAACACAAGTACAGTCCCCTAGTAATTGCCCCTCTAGCATATTTCACTAAGAATTGAAAAACAGCAACAAAGACTCAAAACACAACAACAAAAAATGAAGCACATAGAATATTTCAAGGATTGTCCTAGACATAAAACAAGACATTTCAGTGGAGCTAAAATTATCCATCTGTAAGACCTAAGCTGTTGAATTTTTCGATAAGCACAACCAAGTTACATGCATTCTGTCTTTACAGCATCGGATCATTATATAAGCAGTAAACATGCAGTTGAATTGCTTCTGCTGATAGCATGTCGTGCGACAATTACAATAACTCCACTGGTAATTGAATTGGATTAGCGTTTTGTTGCAAGACACAAACAATGCAAAGGTAGATGGAAGATTAACATCTACGATGGAAATACTAGTACAATTTATGAGTACTACTTGCAATGAACAGTACGACAGAATGAAGTTCCAATAGTCAGGATTTGGCAGGCCCTAAGCTTTAATTTATGAAGATGCAAATATCTCTGTCAATAACCACATTCATAACTCCTTTTTTTCTTTATTTTCCTTTTTTTTTAATACAATGGGTTGGAGGGGATAAGCTCCAAACCACAGGCTTGCTTGGGGTCCAATTCTAGACGCTACAATCACCACTGGTTATATCCCTTGGCTCAATCGAATATATAATATGAGTTAAAAAAAAAAGAAGATAAGAGTAAATTAAAAAAATTAGTTATCTTGAGGACATGTTCTGTTCATTGCACAAAGGGATGGACCCCATTTGAAAAGAAATAGTAGCTGGTTCCTAAATGACTTGATTAGTTACTGACATTTTATAGCTTAATCAACTCTTTTTTGTAAACATCTAGACACTAGAAGTGTCCTTGAAGCAGGGGAAAATTTATTATCTAAACACAAAATTAGAAGCTAAATGTACAAGGATTAACCAAGTATGGGAAGGAAAGGAAAGGAAGACAATGGAGGAAAAGAAACAGAAAACTCCAAAAGAGAGGTCTACAAGGTCTTAGCCAGAATTCCACTTCTTCTTGGCTAGCTCGGCACTTTAATGGTTGCCAAGTATCACATGAAGCCAATTATTATAACCATAGCTAACTATTCTACATAGTTGAGGTGGCCATGCCAAGTTTCAAACAAAGCATAGGTTATTTAACCCAAAATGATCCATAGATTCTCTAAGCCATACAATCATGGTCTGCCATACATTTGATGTCAATAGCTTGATATCACATAAAAAAACCAGTTTTGATTTATTTGCTACAGAGTCCTGATGTTCACCTTCATCCACTGAAGTCCAAGAGTAACAGCTGTTAGTGAGACATCTTTACACTCTATAACATTCCTAGTTTCCACCTTGACTAGTAAAGCTTAAACCAAGTCCTAATGCTGGCAATTTTCAATAACTACTACTGTTAGTCAACTGGCAGCTGTGTTCTTCACTTCTTTCTTACATAAAGTTTATTGAGTACAACTCTAAGGATGCATATGTGTGGTTGCACATGCACTGACTAATAATCAGACAAATAAACTGATGAAAGATAAATCGAGGACTCCACCTTTTTCCTTGTGGTCAACCCATACCTAATCAGCATTTTTCCTAGGTTTTACAGTTTCCAAAAATGATGCCTGGTATCTGTTATGATCTCAGTCAATCATCCCAGAGCAACTCTTTCCTAATATATCTGAGAAAAAAGGGTTCTAAAACCATAAAATGCAGCTCATAATCAACCTACTTCACAATCTCTATAAGAAAGAAACCAAATATCTTTCAACTCTGGATACCATAAAACCATTTGTGCTGCATCCAAAGCGCAACTGCTGATTGATTATGAGCTATGCCTAGAAATATCTCCTGCATCTTTATTGAAAATGGAAAGGAAGCTAAATAAAACAGAATGATAACAGATTCAGGTGATATAATTAGCTGGGGTTATCAGCTGAGGAGCAAATATTTTGGGGAAAAGACGGCAGAAAATGGCAGAGAAAAATGGACACAAGCACCTAAAGGCATAATTAGCTTCATCAAAGAAAAACTGTGACAACCAAGCATGTATTTTGTGTATCACATCTCTTTATGCAAAGATGACCTTAATATTACTCACAGATCCAATGTACCCTTACAAGGCAATCTCAATTCTCAACAGTCTTAGCTTTGGTAAAGTCTCACTTTCCATAAACCAAAAGGCACCTAAGCACAAATTTTCTGCTCTGGATCCTCCAAGAAAGAAAATTCATTAACCAGAGATGGATCATACAGTTACGATATATGGATGCAAGTACAACAATGCTTCTTTTGGCTTCCCTGAATAACCAAAGCAGGAACCTATACATATCCTCCGAGTTATAGTCAACATGCGAACAAAGAGGGAAACAGATGCATATTAAAAGAAAAAAAGGGTAAACACTTAAATGGTCACTAAACTGTTGGCGCAACATACTTTTGCAACTAAACTATGAGGATTTCAAATCACCCATTGAACTCCCAAAAAAAAAAAGCTTCCAGCCTTCTCTCAATTTTCACTGTTAGGTCCATCTTCAGTTATCATTGAGGAGATTCATTCATTTAAAGAAAGGCAAAAGGTATAAAACCAATCACCATTTTGCTCCTTTTTTCCTTTCTTATTCCCAAATCCCACATCCAAATAAAGAAACTCCCCACCCCCCCCCACCTACTTTCTTCTCCACGAATCCTACCCCTACTAACCCCCAAGCATGTACTCTTGCCACTTCTTCCACCCTACTACAGCAGTTTTCGCAACTTCAATGCTGCCATTTCTCCTAGCAAAACCCCAAACAAGCATATAACCAACAATGGCGCAGAAGTAAGCATACCAGCTCCCTAAATCTGATAGAATACCCCACTCACCACACTAATTGCTTTCCTACACAACAATCCTCAACGCTACTTCTTCCTCTCTCCCAGACCACCAGCAATAACAACAAAGAAATAGATTCTGACATTAATTTTAACTTTTCTTTCCATTCTGTGTCAAGATGACCAATTAAGGCAATTTTGTTGGGGAACACTGGAGAAGAACTTCCATTCATTATCCATTGAACAAAAGTACAGAACCTTCACAAGCCTCTTTCAACAGGCCAGTTTTACACTTTATATTGAAGTCAAAACTATCGAATTAGAATTTCCCTATTGTTATTTCACTCTGGACAGGCCTATCAAATACCTATCTGCTGCTAGATTATCCTCTCTGAGGGTCTGCATCATCCTTCTACCTCATGTAAATATTCAAAGATTGTATCCTCCTAAGTTTAGCATAGATTCAAGAGCTATTTCTTAAGTTTTTGTCATGCTCCATTGATGCTTTTATATCATGCAGTTTCAAAAATATAATGTCTCATGCTTTTCCAGGGACCAAACTGAGTTCCCAACTTCACTATTTTTGAAATTTCAGCTAATCCATCCACCCTACAAATCATTAATCACTGAAACTAATATCCTAATAAAAATTCCCAAACAGATTTGTAAAGCCCAAAAACTGAGAGACCGAAAGACACAGCAATAAGTGTTGTGGAACTTCTTTAACTAAAACAATTAATTGTCTTCTGTTAGGAGATAGAGAATAATGCAATTAAAAAGTCAAAAGAACATGTCACCAGCCACACCAGAGTAAAAGAAAATGAAAGATGAATGAATAATGATTTCTTTAGCAACAAATTTGAGTATTGAATTGCACCTTGGATCCATGTATGACTTTAAATCTATTGTACGGTCGAATTGCACATAGCCATTCAGTTTACTCAAGCGCCCTCGAGCATCTTGACTGAACCTTTTCAGATGGATTGTTAGGATAGGTGGTGCGCTATTAATTAGGATTCTCTTAGTAGCATCCCTCTCGACTTTTTCTGCATTCTTCTCATCATCCTTAGTCTCTTCTGTTTCACATTTACCAGTTCCTGTACAAAATTCGTCCTTTTGAACTTTACCATCAGTGCATCTGACATGGGAACCATCATGTCTTTTGCAGTTGTCATCCAATTTACAGAATGTCATATCCCCATCAGAAGTTCCTGGCAGACAAACATTTGCGAGGACTACGTCACATTTTTCACCTTCCATGCTGGAATCTACTGAATTCACTTCAGCATTCTCACCATTTTTGGGCATGACATTCTGCTTAACATCAGTCTTTGTACTGTGTGACAGAAAGCTGTCATCAGATGGGTCAACTGTCTCATTTTTCAGATAGCCATTACATAGATGTCTCACCTCAGAGGAAAAAGGGCTGCTATCCTGTAAATGTGACAGACCAGAAGCACGTGTAGCTTTGCCCAATTCTGTCATTTCTTTAGACCACGGGTTCAGAAGTTTCTTTCTTGATCTAATTTTTTGTTCTTGCAAAACCTTTGCACAATTTTCACATTGCCAAGCATGTTCATTTTTTGAAAGAAGCTCTGGTTTTGTGAAATAAGATAAACAACTCTGAACAGAAACTGGAGCATCAGTGTTGTCAACTTCATCTGGGTCAGACTCACTGCTGTTTCCCCCAAAACCAGCATGTAAAACTTCATTTGTCTCAGAAGCATTATACATGGATGAGGGATTCATACTAGGGCCTGTAGCTTCAGGCTCATTAAACAAGTCACCAAAACCATCAAATTCCATTGAATCTTGTTCACAACCTATAGCTGATGAGAAGAAATCACCATCTGTCTTCACTATGTCACAGGTATCTTCTTTATATGGAAGCAGAAGAACTTCAGACTCTTGAACAAGCAATGGAGTTTCCTCTTCTGAAAATTTCCCCAAGGAATCAACTCCAAGATTTAAATCTCTAAAACAAGTCAAAGAGCTGAGTTCTGAGCTATTCTCCCAATAAGCCTCGCTATGCATAGTATCAGCACATCCAGAACTGTCAAGGACTACTTTCTCATCAAATTGTGAGGCCATATCTTGTGCACTCAATAACTTCTCTTTCCCGTGGTGAACTAACTGCATCTCATCATGAGAGCAACATGCTGTATCTGTAAATGTTGAAATATTATCACCACATGAATCCAAAGAATTTTGCAATACTTCATTTTGTACAGTATTTTCATCTGCAGAACCATGATTGATTGAAAGGTCATCCATTTGAGAAGTCATGTTATCATTGTTTGAAACTGTATCTGCCTCAAGAAAGTCCAACCAGGTGAAATCATCTGCTGGAATTGGTTTCTCAACAATACTTTCAACAGCTTTGTTGGACTGAGCACGTTGATCAGATGACAGACAGTCTGCAGTTATGCTCTTGGTATCAGCCATAACACTTACATCAGTAGCAGAACCACCAGAAGAAACCACATTTTGTTCAGGAATATGTACACTAGATTGTGGTGTGCTAGAAGACTTTCCATCAACATAAGCAGCAGATGTACTTGTAGATGGTAAATCATTTGTATCTCTGACCATTTTAGGACGGATCCTTGCATTTCTCCTCGGGGGTGGTTTAGGTTTTTTGGCTCGATTCACTTGCTGGACCTTTTTGGAAGGGGGCTTTTTTGTTGGAACTGGTAGTGAGAGATCCAAATAGGGCTCATAGACCAACGAAGAGTATCCGCATTCCAAGCAGGTAACTGTGCTCGAGAGTTGACCACCAAAGATGGCATCGACGAAGGTAGGATCTGAATTGCCAGCTTCCTGGGAAGATTTGTTCTGTTTTTTTGCACTCAGTTCTTCAGTAGACAAAGCATCAAGCAAGCACCGAAGCAATTCATGACTGTCTTGCTGTTGGTATCCTCTAAATTGAGGCGCCTTTGCACAAACACAACCAAAGAACGATCTAGGATTTATAACATTTCTCAAGCCAGACTCTGGGTTGGTCTCGGAAACAAGCTTCTTGAAAGCAGCAGTAAGGGGTCCAAAACAGCCATCCAGTTTGCAAAAATGACCTCGTACCCTATCCAGTGCTAATAAATTCTGTATGACAGAATTAAAGAAACAGGTGTTCCCTAAATTAATCAACCCTCTAACTACATAACTATCCCTACCACCTGAACCAACTACTGCAGACTTTTCTGACGTTATAGTACTTGTTACACTGCCACTTCCAAACCAAACATCTTCTGAATCCAAAGCAGCACCATCAGACCGCCGTATTTTCATCATCTGAACAACTTCATGTAATACATCTTTTTCTTCAACACCATCTTCTGATTTTTCAGCAACAATTAAAATATTGCAACAGAAACACCAACGAAGTTGAGGATTTTCAAGTTGGATGACTAATGAATGATGGTTCTGTTTAGCATGTCTAATGGCATGGGTTTGAGGAGTTGTTGGCAATCCAACACCTCCACACGAAAAATGGCCACACTCCAAGCATACCCAAATGGCCTTAGACTCTGTTCTCGACTCTGCACCCCCCTTTTTCTTTCCTTGCTTACCTTTCCCCTTACCCCCACGTCTACCATCCCCACCATCCCTACAATCTTCACACTTAAATGACTCTGAAGACCCAAATTTAGCAGAAAGCTTCTCTAAATTCACACCCTTATCAAGATGTGAGCATACTCTTTTATCCTTTAAAACTACAGTAGTTCCGTCATCAGTGGCTTTATCAGCATTAGCAATAGTGTTCTGCTGCTGAGAATTAGTTTTTGCAGAGGCAGCCGAGACCCGCTTATCCTTTTGACCACTTCTGGGCTTCTTTTTAGCCTTTTTCCCCATTATTTCCTATAATTAATCCAAGAAAATCACGAACACGTATACAAAGCACCAAAAAAATTTCACAATAAAAAAAAAAGACACCTAATCCAAGTCAAGAAAAATGATCCAAAAACATGCCAAACCAAACCAGCTATAAACTCAAGCATACAACTAAATGCAACAGAAAACAATACTTGGCTAATAACATCACATAGTAAAATCTTCGGACAACATGAGCAGAAAAAGGGGCCAATTTAAAAAATTAATAAAATACTTAATAAGAGGAAATATGGCAAAAAGTTAAAAGAACCCATTAAAGATTAAGCTTTTCTAGAGAAGCCCAGCTGAAGTTTTTGACTGAATAGAATACCCAGGTGCAGTTGAGTAAACAAAACAGGAAAAAAAATAGGTGAATACTTTGAAGCAGTGAAATGAATGAATAAATTTAAAAAAAAAATCACCTGAATATATGGAGAAAAAGCTAGGGATATCTTCAAGAATCTGCAATGTATGGGAAGCTACATGCGATGGGGAACAAACAAATAAAAGTGGAAAAAAATAGGGGAAAACAAAAGAGGAAAATGGACTGTTGTCTGAGGGCTTAAGATCCTAGAGTAGCAAAGGCAGCTGTAACAGTAATAATCTTTTATAGGAGGTTTTGGGGTGAAATCTTTTTAGTCCCTCTTCTCAGTTTTCTCTGAGGGAGAAAATAGAGGTGACAAAAGGGTTTATGCGTTTTTGAGGAGGTCAATATGAGTTCTTCAAATTTGGGAAAATTGCCATTCTTGAAGATATTGAGGAAATTAATTTTAGAGATTAAGGAAAAGGAAAGAAAATATGTGTTTTGTTTTATTTTACATTTTTTGGGTAAGAAAATGTGTGGCAATATTTAAGCCATTTAAACAAGGTAGTCCACTAAAAACGTATAAAAAAGAATAAAAAATAAAAAGGATTTGAGAAATTTGTTATGCTTTCTATTTTGTTTTAACTTCTAAGTTAGGGAAACTAATTAATTTTATTCAAAAGAAAGCACTATTTCATAACAAAAGGTTTTCAATTTAGGCATGGAATGCATCCCAACAAAACATGGAATGATTTGTTGTTAATGGACACCTGGATTTGTGGTTAATTTGATATTTTGAGCTAGTCAATTATATCCATTTTTGCCTTGCATACCTATCAATTAAGCTAGTCAATCATAGTCTTGTCATAATTGATTGATGAGAAGATTGTTAATTAGCGCACTATCAAATTTTTTTTTTGTTAATTAGGGCACTATCAACAACAAAGGTGGTGGGAAAGGCTGAAGCTTGTTTTATTGTTAAATGGAGAAGATTTTAGATTTGGACTATGCTTGGTCTGTTAATTCTATGGTTAGTTGGTTTACTAACCCCCCCAAAAAAAAAGACAATATTTGAAATAGTTTTTAGATTACCAATGGAGTAATTCCAAGCTCACATTTTAGTCCTTGTAAAAAAAAAAAAAAAAAAAAAAATCTTCCAAAACGTCCCTCACATTTTGTAAAATAACTTTTTTCGTCCCTCACTTTTAAAAATGTAATTTTATATCCCTTACATATTCACATCGATTAAATTTAGTCCATAACTAGGTTTCCGATCATTTTTTGGTCTGAATCCATCACGTACAAGGCACATGATCATTTTTTAAGGGTAAATTTGTCAAATTATATTTTACATAATCTAATCTATAGTCCTCCACATTTTATAAAACAAATTTTTTCGTCCCTCATATTTTATAAAATGATTTTTTCATCCCTCACACTTCACAAAATGAATTTCTCCATCCCTCACATTTCAAAAAATGAATATTTTCATCCCTCACTAATTATGTGTGTGAGGGAAACCCTAAAAAAATATATATATATATATATGTGTGAATACATTTTGTTTAAACACATGTATATGTCTATTTGATTTTGCTTAATAATTCGAATAGCATAAATATATGTATGTGTCTATTTGATTTCACTTAACAATACGAATACCATATATTATACATGATCATTTGATTTCATCTGGTATTAGCTAGTAAAAAATCTTGCATTCATTGTTAAATTGGCCAATAAAGCTATTTTCGGTCAAAATACAATAAGAATATGCAAATTAATGTTCTATTGGTAAATATTAGTCATAATCATACAAAAAGAGAAGATAGCCCACAAGTTGGGCTCAATTACATACATGTGTTTATGTTATTATTATTAAACAAAATCAAATAGACATATACATGTATTTAAAAAAAACGTATTCACACACATAATTAGTGAGAAATGAAAAATTCATTTTTTGAAATGTGAGGGATGACGAAATTCATTTTGTGAAATGTGAGAGATGAAAAAAATCATTTTACAAAATGTGAGGGACGAAAAAATTTATTTTATAAAATGTGGAGGACTATAGATCAGATTATGTAAAATATAATTTAACAAATTTACCCTTCAAAAATGATCACGTGGCTTGCACATGATGGATTCAGGCCAAAAAATGATCGGAAACCTAGTTAGAGACTAAATTTGACCGATGTGAATATGTAAGGGACATAAAATTACACTTTTAAAAGTGAGGGACGAAAAAAGTTATTTTACAAAATGTGAGGGACGTTTTAGACGATTTTTCCAAAAAAAAAAAAGGAAAAAGTGAAGAAAGAAATAATCACCTATTAGTCAATAATTGACATTGTAGTTCACTAAGATTGTTAATAGAAACTAGTTGCTATATTCCCTTCGTTATTATAAGAGTTATATTTGGTTATGCTTGCACACTAAAGTTGCCTTTATCAAAGAAAATATAGTCTATTTCTTTCTTTGTTTTTTGAGAGTAACAAACAAAAAATCTAGTCACATAGAAAAAATGTTTTCTCCAAATCCGCCACAACCCAATTTTTCTAAAAGCTATGACCTCCATTATCAAGAACATCCAATTTACAAGCAATTAAGATACGTTATATTTTCAATGAAGTTACACACCATTTTAGGCCAGTTTGCGAGAGAGGTTATACACAATGTTAAGTGGAATGGTGAAATCCCTCCCCCTATTCTTTTCTTGACAAAACGGCAAACTTTCATTAGTGATAGCTTGATATTATAATAGAGTCTAGGGTGTAAATAAGTAGAGTTTAATCAAATGGTTCGCGAGTTTGCGTGGTCAAGATTTGAACTCTAACTCGTATTGATCGATTTCGAGTTTGAATTCGAGCAAGTCGAGCTATCTAACGAGTTCAAACTCGAGTTCAATATGTAAAATTCGAAAACTCATCGAGTTTAATCGAGCTTCATGCATATATGATTTTTAAAATTTTTTATTTATTTGTATCAAATACCTATATTTTTCCCTTGTTTAAAATGATATAAAGCATAAATTTATATTAATTAAACTTGATTAGACTTGATTAAGTTCAATTAAACTCAAACTAAGTTCAATTGGGTTTGATTTGCTCGAATTCGAATCCGATGAGCTCGACTTCAAATAAGGCAATACAAAATCAAGTTTGAATTTGAGCTCAACTTTTAAGAGTTTAACCCCAAATTTTTTAACTCAAAGTCGATTCAACTCAATTATACTCCTACAAGAAACAACTAAACTAGGCAACTGTCCTCTAAATCATTAAGGATATAAACGAATCTAATCAAGTCAAAAACCTTAGTGTTCAAGTTTGTTTGATTATTTTAACGAATTTAAAATTTTGGTCAAATTTAGCTTTTCTTTTTTTTTGGCTGAACCGAATTTAAACGAGTTTTTTAAAGTCAAATTTAAAAGTTATTGAACAAAAAACATTATTCAAACTTAGTTAACTATTTTGACGAGCCAAATCTAACTCAGTTCGAATATCGAATGGTTTGGTCCATTTTTCAACCCAATAGGTCATACTGTGCAAGCTTATTGAACCACCCGGGGAAGTTCAACTTCCACCTAACGTTCTTGACAAGTTTGGTTGCAAACTTAGCTAAGCTATGACTTGACATGATTTCCACTTCTCCTAATAAAATTAACGAAAAAAAAAATCAAATTGAGAAAGTAATCAGAGAAACATTCAAATCCCTGGCTATATTCAATTAGTGTTTTACAAGAATTTGAATAGATTGAAGTAATTAGAAGCAGGTGTCTTTCTATCAAAACAAAATAGCAAGAAAGTGGAGAATGCCACCAGTATATGCCTTGAGTGACGGAATGGAAAGGATTTATCAATGGTTCAATTTCCCTACAATTTGTTGAAACAAAATGAGTAAAAACCTATTTTAGAGAATTGATGGATCAGCTTCTTTTACATCATCTCAACTGCTTTATGTGCCTAGGACCATAGAATTTTCCTAGATTTCATACCTCCTTTTTCCCCACAAATTATCCTTAGATTGCCAGAAGGCTACCTGAAATAGTTGATCGATCATGTCCAAAGGTATAGAAACTCGAGGGTCATCCATAAACCATAATCTAGAACCCTGAGAAAAGCACCGTTAAAAAAGCTTATTAATACTAAGGGCCCGTTTGGCATTTGGGTTTTTACCCAAGTTTGTCTCCTACTAGTTTTTTTACCAACTTTTAGTTATAGTAACCTAAAAAATCTTCTTAAAATTTTTTACCTATACACTTCAAAATACTCAAAATACAGAAAAAAAAAAAAAACTCCCTTCCCCTTTTCTTTTTCTTCCTTCCCTACCCCAACCCCCCACCACCTCCGCCGCTAGTTCCCACGTCGATGACCTCTTCCGGTGCCGGTCTTTTTTTCTTTTCTTTCCTTTCTCCCTCTCCCCCTCTTCCTCCCCGCCATGCTCCCTCTTTACCCGATTTGGTCCTCCCCTTTTTTTTCTTTCTCCCTCTTCTTCTCCCTCTTCTCCACTCCTCCCAGCGACCAGATCGGCCAGCGAGGGAGAGGGAAAATTGCCAAAAAAAAAAAAAAGTTTCTGTTGTTGCTTTGTCCTGCAAGGGAAGGAGAGGAGAGGGAGAGAGAAAATTGCAAAAAAAAAAAAAAAAGTTTCTGTTGCTGCTTCATCTGGCATGAGGGATGGAGAGTTGGTGGCGAGGGAAGGGGAGAGGGGAGGAGAGGGGGAGAGGGAGAAGAGGGGTGGCAGGGGAGGGAGAGGGAGAGGTGGTGAGCAGGAGAGAGGGAGAGAGAAAAAGCAAAAAAAAAAAAGTTTTCTTTTGTTGCTTCATCTGGCAGTTTCGGGAGAGGGAATAGGAGGGAAGGGGGAGGGGGAAGGAGAAGGGAGAAGAATCGGGAAGGGAGGAAAGAAAAGAAAAAAAAAAAAGAAAAAAGAAAAAGAGAGAAAAAAAAATGAAAAGGAAAAAAGTTTTTCATCTTACAAAAGTTTTTCTACAGTGACTTATAATAAAGTTTGAAACAAATACTCAAAAAACTCAGTTACCAAACGGGCCTAAATTGCAACTGTTTGTTCAAAACCAAAAGGATTGAAAACAAGGAGGTTGCTCCAAAAGCAATACTTTAAGCTGCAAAAAGGATTTGAGTTGGACTCTACAAGAGTGAAATGCTATATATTGGAACCCCATTGTCCATCCATCTCTAGAGTTATTAAACTGCTCAAATTAAAGACGGTTAATATACCTTTTTAGCTCATTTTAGAAAAAAAAAAAAAAATCATAAGACATCTTTGTGATCTTAATCGAAGGAAGATAGTCCAAGCCAATACCTTTAATTCAAACTCGAGTAAATGTCTCATATTAATTTGTGTTTTGGTCGCTCCTTAGTCCTAAACATGATGAATAAATTACTCTCTTTCTATTACGAATAATATCTTTAATTCAAACTCAGCGTTTGAATTTCGTTTTGCATCCTTGTTGGAGGACTTGAGCAAAAACAACGGAATTATCTAAGGCCATTTTAGTCATTTGACCTTCCATTTGATGTAAGCATCAAGCCCAACGATAATTTATGTAGGGCCAACAGTTTTAGCCCATTTATTAGTGGACTAAAATAAGCCTGGGGCGTAGTTAGGAGGTAGACGCTAGACAACTTGTTACTCGATTAGAGAAGCAGACTTTTTTTTTTTTAGGGTAAAAAAAAATATTTATGTAATTTTTTTTTCCAACAAACGAAAAAAAAAATAATGTTATGGTTATTGTCATATTGGCTAAACTTGTTACGTTTTCTCTGTGAACTCATTTTTCTATTATTTTTTTATCTCACATATATTAAATAATTATAGCACATTCTTTTTTTATATATATATAAAATCTCTAGAAAATAGCAATCAAAATGGGTTCTTCTCATATTTCAGAGTAGTAATGAAAGTTAAAAATACCAATACCAAAAAGCAAAAAATTAATTACCTAAAAGTACAGCTAATAATCCCTAAAGATAAAATTAGTATTCCTTAATAGTGAGCGCTCATGTGATTTGACACTGGCAATGTTAGAAATTAAAAAAAAAAAGAGGGGAAGATTCGATGCTTCCATAATTATCACAATGTCGACGCTGATGTAAAAATTGTACACACTAATGTAGCTAATTTAAACACTAACATAACATGTAAAATACAATAACATTATATTATTTGTTGAAATTTGTGCCCAAATTTCAATCTCAAACATCCAAATCATATATATATATATATATATATAATAAAGTCGTATCTTCATTCTTATCCTTTCATGTTTTCTCTTTCCTACGTGACTTGCTCCTTTTTTGTTTGGATTTATATCAATTCTTATTTCTTATAAGAATTCTTAATATTGTATTATTCTTATTTCCTATCCAAAAAAGGAACTGGAAAGTAATGCGATATAAATAAAAGAGACATAAATATCTCTATTAGATAAATCTCCAAATTCATGCCAATAATTTTTGTACTACATAAGAAACCAAAATAAATAAGAATTGCTATCACTACAAGAAGTAGAAAAGTAACTAATTTTAATTAATAAATCATATTTTCTTCAAAAAAAAAAAGTTATTTGAACGATTGTGGTTTTATTTCCTATAAGAATTCTTAATATTATAGGATTTTTATTTCATACCCAAAGTTATGTACTTTAAACAACTTAAATCAAGATAAACATACTTTTAATGTTCTTATTAATATCTCTTTATATCCTTATCAATTATTATTTCTTATGCCTACACTACATATAGCCTCTAATACATTGATTTCAAACATCAAATTCATGGTTAGGTATTTTCAGTGCAAGCGGTTGGCACATTAACGTATCGATTTTGGGTTTTTACTCTTCTTGATTGTCAGGTACATTTTCTTTCAATATATTTATTTTTTTAAAAAGGCATATTGATCTTTAATTGCAAGAGTTTAGTACCATATCTTGAATTTTATTTTTTTGTTTTATTTTCTGTTTGTTTTGTATGAAGACATAGGATTTAAACAAGTACTTTCATCATTATTTTTGTAAGATTCTTGCTAACATGTTTGTTAATTGATTTTTGTGATCATATGCTAAGATGTTTGTTAATTTGCCTTTACGAAAAACAATCAAAAACAAAAGGTACTGGAAAGTAACGCGACATAAATACAAGAGACATAAATATCTCTATTAGATATATCTACAAATTCATTAGTTAATTAAAAAACTCTGGCCGTTTACTTAATTAATCCACTTGAGAATGGTTTCATAAGGTTTTTAAAAAAATATCCAGCCTTATGTCTTACCAACATAGTTTAAATAGAAGAGATGCCAAGCACTTGATCACTTGAATAACATGAACTTCCGGCAAATATTGATTATATACACTTATAGTCTATGCTTTATAAATATCGCCATGAAAGTGCTTTGCAGAATACATCAATTACTTACTCCCATAATCAAGAAGTCTAAAAGTAAATTCTATCTACATTCAAAATATTAGCTACCACTATCAATGCTGTCAGTAGTCGATATCCAAGGAGTTTGCTCAAATGTTGTCAGTAGTCGACATCCAAAACCCTATATTGTAAGAAAAATATGGAGTATCCTAAACTGTGTAATGCTTGCAATCAAAATGTGGAGTATCCTAAATTGAGGTATGTCGTAGATGTTAACATTTTTATCATTTTAATTGCTACAATGTCTACATAAACATAACTTTTAGAATATGTGTATTTATACAGGTATATGTTAAAATTCTTGGCAAGTGATGCAACCAGTAGTGTTTGGTTTGTTATATTTGATCAAAAGACTGAAAAAATAATAGAATACAAACTTTCTTTTCTTCTTGAAGAATTTAACAAGGTAAACTTATATCTAATTTTTTAAAATATTTTTAATAATAGTAGACAATCCGACACTTATCTCAACTGTTGAATATTCTAACAAAAAAAAATCTATTACGCATTTCATTTTCAGGATGGATTTAACAATGAAATCGTATCATCAATTATAAATAAAATCACGTGAAAACCTTTTATATTCCAAATCAAGTTGAACAATTACAATTTGAAACAAGGTATTAATAGATTTAATGATTTATAGTGACTAGATAGTTCCACTATGATTTCAAGAGGGAAACACATTTCATGCATTCACAGGTAATGTACAATAAATTTCTCTTGTATTTCACATACTATATCTCACATAATATTTTTACCTTTAATTTTGATAAATCATTATCATATTGGCAGAACCGACAACCAATACCAACCTAAAGTATCTTTTTCTCATATCCCAATTAGTACAACAGATGATTCTAATCAACAGTATTTCAATACACTTCATATGAATCATTTATCAGAGGGTTCAACAAAAACCACAGAGAAAGGGAATCCTCATAAAAAGATTTGCATGAGAAGGTAGATTTAATATACTATATTATTTTCTTAAATTATAATCTTTACATATTGTTATACATAATCTTGAATGCAATAAATCATTTATTTTTTAATACTTAGTTATCCTGCTTTGCTATCATGCAGTGATAATGAAAAATCAATGAATGCTAAGTTGCACGGACAAATCAAGAAGAATGTTTAAACAGAAGAAAAACAAAAACAAGTTTATGAAGAGTAGAATATTATTTGATACTATTTACTGCACTTTTTATTTATTGTCAAATTTTTGAATGTTATGGTATTGTTGAATGTTATTTTTTCCATTTTTGAATTATTAATCATTGAATTAGATGTTCAAATTTATATTATAAGAATACTTTATATTACAATGCGCACATAGTAATATACTTAAAATAAGTTATAATAGATTATACATTAAATTTGTATTTTATATCGATATTTTTATAAAATTGACTAAATAGTTTATTTTTTTTTTTTACGATTCCGTTCAACGAATGGGTACAAAACTAGTCCATGTGGCCCGTGTGGGTTCAACGATATTTTTACAATTATCGCAGAGGAGCTGAATCCTTAAAATATTCAAACCAGGCCCATGTGGCCATGGACGGGTCAGGTTTGGAGTCGAAAGGCTCGCCCAATTCCTAGTTCCAAAACTATGCCCAAGTACGGTCCAATCCAAACTACTTTTAACTATTATTTCAACCCCAAAAAACACGCACTGAACCACATAGTTGACAGCTCTCTGATTTATTTTTCTTCCTCGGCGTAGACTTTCTTCTCCGGCGACTTCTCCGGCGTCCTCACCATGACTCATATCCTTTAATTACGCTTCTTTTTTTTGATTAATTTCAATTTTATGCTGCATTTATTCATGAGTATATGTGAATTTTGGGAAATTTCTTTGACTGGATTGGGATCTCACGCGGAAACCAGAGGGAGAAAGATAGAGAAAGAGCTCAGGCAAGGACTGGTGGCAAAGGCAAGAACAAAGATGATGGTTTGACTCCTGAGCAACGCCGTGAAAGGTACTAATCCTCTCTCTCTCTCTCTCTCTCTCTCTCTGTTTGCCGCGTTTTTTCTTTATGTCCAATTTGCTTCCTATATTTTCCAATTTCTGGATTCGGAGTTTTGTTTATCTGTAATTATTAAGTTCCTGTCTTTATAATTATAGTGGTTTAACCGTGTTTGCTTATGTTGAGATTTCGAAAGATTGGTACTCTGTTGGATGAATTATGTGTGTTATGAATTGGTGTGTGTATAATTTTCCTCTTTTTTGTTTTCACGCCTTTACATGGATAGATGTTAGTTTGATTTAAGTTAGGTTTATGTACTGTCACTAGGATATTGGAACCTTTTTATTTTCTTTTTGGTTACTGGGACTCCATTGCCTTTGTAATTCGGATAATATAAATATGCAGCTAATGGAGTGCCAATAGCGCTACCTTTATGTATTTCATTAGTTGGAGTAACCATGAAAACAGGGCGAAAGAAGGAATTCTTAAATTTTTTTTGGTAGTTGTCATCTTAGTAGTGTTAAGCTTTTGAGGGAAAAATTTAAATTTTCTGGACTTTTTGGGGTGGGTTGGGGGGAGGCATCCTCGTAACACCCCTCTAGGTCCATCTGCACTTCAAAATAAGGTAAAGTTAGATGCTTTTGTGTCGGTTTGATGTGAATGAACGTGATAATTTTCATAACCATGTCGGTGTAAGTACTAGTATGTGATTTTTGTTTGTTTATGGAGTGGTTCTATTAATTGTTTGAATTTCCACATGCTGTATGTTATTCGTGACTATTGTGTCCGACACTTGACCTGGGTAATTTGATTTGCTTTCTCGTAACCCTTTAATTGATGATCTTGTAGAGATGCAAAAGCACTTCAAGAGAAGGCTGCAAAGAAGGCAGCGCAGGCAGCAGGGGGCAATGATGCTGGAGGTAAAAGCAACAAGAAATAATGAACTCTCTTGTTATTATGTTTCCTGATTGTCTCTTACTTTAAAGAGACCCTCGTTTCCCCTTTTTCTCGCTTTACGTATTTGTGTATTTTCTTCTGCTACAAGGTCTCTGTTCTGTTCTGTATGATTTTCATATACACTTAATGTGCAATGTAATCTTAATTGATACTGTAATGTTGATTTTGGTGCTTGTTGGTCGATCTTTGTGTTCCTGTTTGATGCACCTGAATTTTCTCTGATGATCCTCTTTTAACCATGTTCATGTAATCTTGTGAAACTGTTAATTCCAACTTGCTGGAAGTCAAACATTCCATTTGTTAAAACTTATGGACTCATTTGTCAGTTGAGTGGTCCCAAGTCAACCTTCATCCACATTATACTTGTTTTTGAAGGGAACTATTGTACTTTTCTTTATTTATTTTTTAATCTGAATGTCTTCTACTAGTGGAGGATGGTATAGCATTTTTGGAGACCTTGTCGAGTTTGCAAAATTGTGGGCATGACAAAGGATTGGTGTACGGTTTGGCACTCATTTCATATGTTATTTGGGGTGTCTCAAAGATGTGCTGCATAACTTGGATCTTTTTTTTCTACAGTTGGATGTTGAAATGAGGCCTATGATGAGCCCAGCCAGACTTCTATTTACCATGAAGTGTCAAAATGATAACCGAAATTTCAGTTACTTTTCATAAACAGTGAAGTGCCTGAAATTTGTTTGACATAACTAAAATTGAGATACGTGTATTGCAGTGCTCAAAGGTTAAGCTTACAATTAATCTTGACATTCAGGGTTCAACTTTTGCCATTTGGAAATAACTTTTTGGGAAATGCATTTCTTTGTCCTCATCAGCTACCTGCCCTATTTCCGTGGCTCGTTTTGGGACTCAACACTATTTCACAGCTATTAGAATATTTTTTTTGTTGTACGAGTTAAGAGCTTAAAAATTCTGTATATTCTCAGTCATAGGCTTAGGAACATGCAAAAAGTGGGTGAGTGATACGAGCTTTTTGAAATGCTTTAGCAGAAGATTAAGAGGTGTTCTGAGTTGATATAATTAGCTTGTGTTGCGTTCAAATAAGTAGCTTACCGCATGTCCGTTCCATCAAGTGACATGATAACAAACTGATGATTTTTACATTAGGTTTCTGCTTTTCTTTGTCGTCTAATCATTTAAATTCCAGAATCATGAAAGTTTTGGCCATTTAATGTCGTATTAGAATAGCAGGTTCTGTTGATGCCATTGGTACTTGGTTTTGCTTAACCGTATGGATGGCCACATACTGACAGCTGAGTAGGGCTTTAAAGGATTTTGTCACCTAGGAGGCAGTAATTGCTTGAAAATGTGGATGCATTGCAACCTATTTGAGGTTGATCGATGCGAGGAAAAGTGTTATTTCAGACATGAGGAAAGTTGATTAGGTTACTCGTGGTTTTTGCTGAATATTTCGCTGATGCTTTCTTGTAAAGGCTTGCTTAGTGCTGGTTCAGGGACCTCAAGTTGCACATAAAGATACCATTTGGCAAGTGTAAGGTTGTAGGCTAAGAATATGGATTGTTTAGTTGTATATACTTTACCTAGTTAGGTTACACACCAAGCTTTGGAGGGTTTCAATTGATCTGTGAAGAGAATAGTCCAAGGAGGTTGTATGATCGGGGGGTCAAGAACTGATGAATTGTTCTTGTTGAGTTGAGGGAAATCGAGTCTTGTGCAAGAATGAATGGCTTTGGACTCTATTGAAGACATCTTCATGTCTTCGATTTCTACTATCTAATTTTGTATAATCTACAGTTTCTCAAATAAAAATTACAAATAATTCGACAATTAAGGTCTCAAAAGTTAATGTCTTAAATCCTTTTGGGAGTAGCCATTAGCCAATGTAAGATGAGATCCTAACTTAATGCACTTCTCAAATGCAAAATTTCTCCGAAGTGGTAAAAGTTAATTCTCAATTGGTGGACGTCTTTATGGCAACTCAAACTAATTGGTTTCTTTTCTCCACGCTTTGCAAAATGGCTCGAGCATTAATTTTTGGTTGAGAGAAAGCATCAAGTTAAATTAGTAAAGGCCCTTTCTGGTTTACATCAAAGTCTGAATGTAAAATTTTAAGTATCAAATTGTCCAGTTTCCCCAAAAGAAAACGCTTGTGATGTGCATGATCAAGAGAGTTACGAAAATTATCAGAAGAAAGAAGAGACTTACGGTAAGGTTTCTCAACTAAAATATGTTGAATACTTTTTCTTAATGAAAATTAAAGTTTAAGAATGGATTGCAATTTTTCTTTGAAAAATTACTACGTTTTTCGTGGGTATATTTTTCAATTATTTTTTTACCTCACATATATCAAATCGTTACAGTAATTTTTCTACAAAAAATTTAGAAAAATGCAATCCAAACAAAACCAACATAAATAAGGTTGAACCCAGCATTTAAGAACCACTTTAGGGGGAGGACAAACTTTACTACGGTCATTGAGCCGCTTGTGGGTTGTCCCATAAATAACTCAATAGTAGGGATGTACGCGAGCCGAGCTACTCGCGAGTATCTTGGTCAATGGCTTGGTTTGAACTCGGTCAAACTGAGTTCGAGCCGAGTCTCGAGCTACTCGAATACACATTCGAGTCGAGTTCGAGTCAGAATTTTGCAGCTCGTGGCTCGGCGAGTAGCTCTTTGAGCCGTATAATTTAAATAATATATATGTATTATAATTATAAAATGACCGTTATGGGTATAATTTATACTGAATTTACAAGTAATGTGTCGAGTCAAAAAGCTTGAGTCGAGTCTTATCGAATCGAGTCTTGAACTTTTAAAGATTTCCTCGAGTCAAGCTCGAGTTTGAGATTTTTCGACTCAATCGAGCTCGAGTCAAGTTATTTATAGGTCGAGTCGAGCTCAAATATAGCAATACTCGAGCTCGACTCGGCTCGATTACATACCTACTCAATAGCCAGTCTAGCCAGTTTAACTTGCCAATCGGGGACGTGGTGATCTTAAAGCCTGTTTGACAAAAATTGGCCATCAGTGGCATGTTCACCGTGGACTTTGTTTTATGGGTGATAATTTGAACTTCTTCTTATTCTTTCAGCTTAATTTCTTTTGTTAATTTAAGTTCTTATTTGCATAAATCGACTTAAATTCATGATAAAGTTGGAAGTATATTCTGACACTGCTCGAATCATCCCTAGTTTTCTCTTTTTGATTTGAAACTTTTAAGCAGCAATGGGGTATAATCTAATGATATGGTCTTAAACGTATATTCTATCCTTATCCAAAAAGTTTCTCCTAAAATGCGGGTGGAGAATATCAAAAGAATGGCAATCCATAGCTAAAGCTCAAGAATCATACCAAGTCAAATTCAAGTACTTATTTCAAGCAGTTGGTGCATCAACCGCGTAAATTTCGCCAAAAATTTTTTTTTTTTGCTTAATTATTAGAGACAATTTGGAAATGGGTAAAAGATCTTAGATCAGAAGCTATAAAGGGCAAAAAAAAAAAAGAAAAAAATTGTCTTGCAAACCAAAAAAGAAAAGAAAAAAAAGAGGAACATGTCGTCATATGCGTTTAAAGCCAAAACTCACCTTGTTCTCGGTTGTTTTAAATTTTACAAAATCTAATTATAGAAATTGATCATAGAGAATAATCAGAATCAGTAAAAACTACTCTTTGGGTGATTATAAATTTTAACTTTTTTGGTCATTAAAAAATTTATAAAAGTAACCGAGAACATTACAAAAATTGATTATCCAAAATCAAAATCTATAATTAGTTAAAATAATCAATCGAGAACAGGGTTTTAGTCCACTCTGTCAAGGTACAAAACTTGAAGATTTTGACTAGAATAACTTAATTAATCTATCATTTGACAATGTGGAAGTCTTTAAAAGACTGATTTGTTTTTCATATTTCCATTACTTGCTACATGATTCAGTCAAACTATTATTGTGATTTTGGGTAGATGGAATAGCAATACTTGTTACATACTGCTTCAATTTATTTATAGCGACTAAACAACCTTATGCTTGGAGACTCCTCAGGTCAGGCGATTATATTCAATGAATGTGTCTTTTTCATACAATATTTTACGTATGGGTATTATAGATTCTTGGTCTTGTTGTTTTTTTTTATCCCCATTTTTTGAAGTTGTTCAGAATATAACTGAGCTTGATTCTCCACTATGTTCTAAGAATTGTTATACTACTATTTCTCAGTTTTTTTTTTCAATCAAATCTTTTTTTGAAAAAAAAAAAAAATCAAATGCAGTAGCTTTCAAGTTCTGTCTTGTTTATTTCTTGAGTCTTTGTTTTTTTTTTAACTTCCTTCGTTTATGGGGATCTGGTAGAATGAATTTCTCTCGTTGTTCATTTCCATGCAAGCTTTTTCCATTATTTGGCGTTGTCAAAAATTTTGTTGCAAAAAGAAAAACACCAATTTGGAGAAGCTGAAAAAAAAAAAATTTTTTTTGGTACTTTTTGGAGGAGCTAATAAAGCCTGGTGGTGCTAATGCCACATTTCTCAGTCCTTTTTCTCTTGGTTGACTCTAATTTCTATTAAGATATATAGATCCCACTATTATCCCAATCCCCTTTTCTCTTTAGGACAGTATTTTCGAATTCCTGAGAAAAATCCCCACATGAATTTTTTGGAATTATATTTTCTTAAAATTCAATTCTTGTCATTTTCCAAACTTTTTTTATTTGAATTCTTGGACCAAGATTCATTATTTTACTTTCAAATATATACATACTTTCAATGTATATAGTACACAGGCCTCTTTGTCAACTTTATTCATGAATGTGGAATTTTAGACATGCAATTCATCTCTATATTCTCTGGAGAAGATCAAAAAATAAGCAAAAAAAAAAAAAAAAAAAAAAAAAAAAAAAATCTCCAATAGTGAAGGACAAAGCATCCACCAATATACCTACATGTTAGCTCAATTCATGACGTGCCATCCACGCCACTTACAAAACAATTCCTTTAACCAACTAAAATAACCATTCCAATTTTCCTCCTTAATTTAATTTCTTTTCTACCAAGTCCTAGTTAGTATACAACTATTATAAGTCTACCAACTCTGTAACTAGGCTTACACCAAGGGCCACTTACAATAAATAACAACTTCAATATCTGAAATAGAAATGTTCCTTGCAATAAAACTTTTTGCATAGTACTTTATGTACTATTGTACTACTACTAATACATAATTCTACCAACCCTATAGCTATATAGGCTTACATCTACAGGTACTTATATAAGAGCTTGATTATCTAAAACAGCAGTGGGCTCTTTTTTCTTGAAAGAAAACCGTTTACATGTATGTATGTGTCTATATATATATATATATATATATATATATATATATATATAAAATTAATTTTTTATACATTACAGTGTATACATTTTCATAATTAGATGTATGACACATAATTCAAATTTGAATTTGAAATCTAAATTTTGCATATGTGCCCTGCATCCAACCCTGATAGTGTATATACGGTCAGTGTGTATATAATTTATTTTTGTAATTTGGTAATCAATTGGAGTGATGGTAACTTACTTATTGGCTACCTTTTGAGCATACAACTCTCTTTGCAAGTAACATGGACAAGGTGAGGCCAACCCTCTTATAAGCATTCTTTAAAAACAAGAAAGTACACGACATTATGCATTAAGAGCTTATCAACTAACTAAACTTTCTATTACGTGAGCTATCCCTTACTTAAGTGTTTGTTTGAGTCCCTTTTCTTTTGTTTTTCCTTTCTCATAGCCGCCTTTTAAATTTGTGTGGTTAATGTGGCCATTAGCACGCGAGATAACTACTAAATCTGAA